AGCAGCTACACGTATGATGATGTGACGTACAAACTGATAGTTGAAGATCACCTTGGACCAGAGTCACGTGAAGTGACCGCTTATCGTTCCGCAGGACCGTAGAAGTTTCCTTCTCTACTTTTTGTTTTTCCGTGTCCACGGTTCAAGGTGTTTTATTTCCGTGTCCACGGTTCATGGTTTTTTTCCCCGTGTCCACGGTTCAAGGTGTTTTTTCCATGTCCACGGTTCGGGTGTTTTTTCCGTGTCCACGGTTCAGGGTGTTTTTTCCGTGTCCACGATTCAGGGTGTTTTCCGTGTCCACGGTTCAGGGTGTTTGTTTTCCGTATCCATGGTTCAGGGTGTTTGTTTTTCCGTGCCCCCGGTTCGGGGTGTTTTTTTTCCGTGTCCATGGTTCGGGGTGTTTGTTTTTGCGTGTCCACGGGTCAGGGTGTTTGTTTTTCGTGTCCACTGTTCAGGGTGTTTGTTTTCCGTGGCCACGGTTCAGGGTGTTTTATTTCCGTGTCCAAGATTCAGGGTGTTTTCCGTGTCCACGGTTCGGGGTGTTTTATTTCCGTGTCCACTGTTCAGGGTGTTTGTTTTCCGTGGCCACGGTTCAGGGTGTTTGTTTTTCGTGGCCACGGTTCAGGATGTTTTTCCGTGTCCACGGTTCAGGGTGTTTGTTTTCCGTGTCCATGGTTCAGGGTGTTTGTTTTTCCGTGTCCACGGTTCAGGGTGTTTGTTTTTCCGTGTCCACGGTTCAGGGTGTTTGTTTTTCGTGTCCACGGTTCAGGATGTTTTTCCGTGTCCACGGTTCAGGGTGTTTTTCCGTGTCCACGGTTCAGGGTGTTTGTTTTTCGTGTCCACGGTTCAGGATGTTTTTCCGTGTCCACGGTTCAGGGTGTTTTTCCGTGTCCACGGTTCAGGGTGTTTGTTTTTCGTGTCCACGGTTCAGGATAATTTTCTGTGTCCACGGTTCAGGGTGTTTTTCCGTGTCCACTGTTCAGGGTGTTTTTTCCGTGTCCACGGTTCAGGGGGTTTGTTTTTCCGGGTCCACGGTTCAGGGGGTTTGTTTTCCGTGTCCACGGTTCAAGGTGTTTTATTTGCGTTTCCACGGTTCAGGGTGTTTGTTTTCCGTGTCCAGGTGTTTTATTTCCGTGTCCACGGTTCGGGGTGTTTTTTCCGTGTCCACGGTTCGGGGTGTTTTTTGTGTCCACGGTTCAGGATGTTTTTCCGTGTCCGCGGTTCAGGGTGTTTGTTTTCCGTATCCACGGTTCAGGGTGTTTTTTTATTGTCGAATTCTGACTTTGCTTTTATGTTGAAGTTGTTGATATCTTTTTGTATTCATTTGGTTTCCGTGTCCACGGTTCAGGGTGTAGTTTTCCGTATCGACGGTCCAGGGTGTTTGTTTTTCCGTGTCCATGGTTCAGGGTGTTTGTTTTCCGTATCCACGGTTCAGGGTGTTTTATTTCCGTGTCCACGGTTCAGGGCGTTTGTTTTCCGTGTGCACGGGTCAGGGCGTTTGTTCCGTGTCCACGGTTCAGGGCGTTTGTTTTCCGTGTGCACGGGTCAGGGCGTTTGTTCCGTGTCCACGGTTCAGGGCGTTTGTTTTCCGTGTCCGGGTGTTTGTTTTTCGTGTCCACGGTTCGGGGGGTTTTTTGTGTCCACGGTTCGGGGTGTTTTTTCCGTGTCCACGGTTCGGGGGGTTTTTCGTGTCCACGGTTCAGGGTGTTTTTCCGTTTCCACTGTTCAGGGTGTTTTTTCCGTATCCACGGTTCAGGGTGTTTTATTTCCGTGTCCACGGTTCAGGGGGTAGTTTTCCGTATCGACGGTCCAGGGTGTTTGTTTTTCCGTGTCCACAGTTCAGGGTGTTTGTTTTTCGTGTCCACGTTTAAGGATGTTTTTCCGGGTCCTGTTTGTTTTTCGTGTCCACGGTTCGGGGGGTTTTTTGTGTCCACGGTTCGGGGTGTTTTTTCCGTGTCCACGGTTCGGGGGGTTTTTCGTGTCCACGGTTCAGGATGTTTTCCGTGTCCACGGTTCAGGGGGGTTTTCTGTGTCCACGGTTCAGGGTGATTTTCCGTGTCCACTGTTCAGGGTGTTTGTTTTTCCGTGTCCCCGGTTCAGGGTGTTTGTTTTCCGTGTCAACGGTTCAGGGTGTTTGTTTTTCCGTGTCAACGGTTCAGGGTGTTTGTTTTCCGTGTTCACGGTTCAGGGTGTTTTTTCCGTGTCCAGGGTTCGGGGTGTTTTTCGTGTCCACGGTTCAGGATGTTTTCCGTGTCCACGGTTCAGGGGGTAGTTTTCCGTATCGACGGTCCAGGGTGTTTGTTTTTCCGTGTCCAGTGTCCACGGTTCAAGGTGTTTTATTTCCGTGTCCACGGTTCAGGGGGTTTTATTTCCGTGTCCACGGTTCAGGGGGTTTGTTTTTCCGTGTCCCCGGTTCAGGGTGTTTGTTTTCCGTGTCCATGGTTCGGGGCGTTTGTTTTTCAGTGTCCACGGTTCAGGGTGTTTGTTCCGTGTCCACGGTTCGGGGTGTTTTTGGTGGCCGCGGTTCAGGATGTTTTTCCGTGTCCGCGGTTCAGGGTGTTTGTTTTCCGTATCCACGGTTCAGGGTGTTTTTTTATTGTCGAATTCTGACTTTGCTTTTATGTTGAAGTTGTTGATATCTTTTTGTATTCATTTGGTTTCCGTGTCCACGGTTCAGGGTGTTTTTTCCGTGTCCACGGTTCGGGGTGTTTTTCGTGTCCACGGTTCAGGATGTTTTTCCGTGTCCACGGTTCAGGGTGTTTTTCCGTGTCCACGGTTCAGGGTGTTTGTTTTTCGTGTCCACGGTTAAGGATGTTTTTCCGTGTCCACGGTTCAAGGTGTTTTTCCGTGTCCACTGTTCAGGGTGTTTTTTCCGTGTCCACGGTTCAGGGTGTTTGTTTTTCGTGTCCACGGTTCAGGATGTTTTCCGTGTCCACGGTTCAGGGTGTTTTATTTCCGTGTCCACGGTTCAGGGGGTTTGTTTTTCGTGTCCACGGTTAAGGATGTTTTTCCGTGTCCCCGGTTCAGGGTGTTTGTTTTCCGTGTCCATGGTTCGGGGTGTTTGTTTTTCGGTGTCCACGGTTCAGGGTGTTTGTTTTCCGTGTCCACGGTTCAGGGTATTTATTTTTCCGTGGCAACGGTTCAGGGTGTTTGTTTTTCCGTGTCCACGGTTCAGGATGTTTTTTTTTCGTGTCCACGGTTCAGGATGTTTTTCCGGGTCCACGGTTCAGGGTGTTTTTCCGTGTCCACTGTTCAGGGTGTTTTTTCCGTGTCCACGGTTCAGGGGGTTTTTCCGTGTCCACGGTTCAGGGTGTTTGTTTTTCCGTGTCCACGGTTCAGGGGGTTTGTTTTTCCGTGTCGACGGTTCAGGGTGTTTTTCCGTGTCCACGGTTCAGGGGGTTTTTTCCGTGTCCACGGTTCAGGGGGTTTTTCCGTGTCCACGGTACAGGGTGTTTTTTCCGTGTCCACGGTTCAGGGGGTTTTATTTCCGTGTCCACGGGTCAGGGTGTTTTATTTCCGTGTCCACGGTTCAGGGTGTTTTATTTTCGTGTCCACGGTTCAGGGTGTTTGTTTTCCGTGTCCACGGTTCAGGATGTTTTTTTTTCGTGTCCACGGTTCAGGGTGTTTTTCCGTGTCCACGGTTCAGGGTGTTTGTTTTGCGTGTCCACGGTTCAGGGTATTTGTTTTCCGTGTTCACGGTTCAGGGTGTTTTTTCCGTGTCCACGGTTCAGGGTGTTTTATTTCCGTGTCCACGGTTCAGGGTGTTTTATTTTCGTATCCACGGTTCAGGGTGTTTTCCGTGTCCACGGTTCAGGGTGTTTTTTCCGTGTCCACGGTTCAGGGTGTTTGTTTTCCGTATCCACGGTTCAGGGTGTTTTATTTCCGTGTGCACGGTTCAGGGTGTTTTATTTTCGTATCCACGGTTCAGGGGGTTTTCCGTGTCCACGGTTCAGGGTGTTTGTTTTCCGTGTCCACGGTTCAAGGTGTTTTATTTGCGTTTCCACGGTTCAGGGTGTTTTTTCCGTGTCCACGGTTCAGGGTGTTTTTTCCGTGTCCACGGTTCAGGGTGTTTTTTCCTTGTCCACGGTTCAGGGTGTTTTTTCCGTGTCCACGGTTCAAGGTGTTTTATTTCCGTGTCCACGGTTCAGGGCGTTTGTTTTCCGTGTCCACGGTTTAGGGGTGTTTTTTCCGTGTCCACGTTCAGGGTGTTTTATTTCCGTGTCCACGGTTCAGGTTTTTTTTATTTCCGTGTCCACGGATCAGGGTGTTTGTTTTCCGTGTCCACGGTTCAGGGTGTTTTCCGTGTCCACGGTTCAAGGTGTTTCTTTCCGTGTCCACGGTTCGGGGTGTTTTATTTCCGTGTCCACGGTTCAGGTTTTTTTTATTTCCGTGTCCACGGTTCAGGGTGTTTGTTTTCCGTGTCCACGGTTCAGGGTGTTTTTCCGTGTCCACGGTTCAGGGCGTTTGTTTTCCGTGTCCACGGGTCAGGGCGTTTGTTCCGTGTCCACGGTTAAGGGCGTTTGTTTTCCGTGTCCACGGTTCAGGGCGTTTGTTTTCCGTGTCCACGGTTCAGGGCGTTTTTCCATGTCCTCAGTTCAGGGTGTTTGTTTTTCCGTGTCCACTGTTCAGGGTGTTTTTTCCGTGTCCACGGTTCAGGGTGTTTTTTCCCCGTGTCCACGGTTCATGGCGTATTTCCGTGTCCACGGTTCAGGGCGTTTTTCCATGTCCTCAGTTCAGGGTGTTTGTTTTTCCGTGTCCACGGTTCAGGGTGTTTTTCCGTGTCCACGGTTCAGGGTGTTTGTCCTTGTCCACGGTTCAGGGTGTTTGTTTTCCGTATCCACGGTTCAGGGTGTTTTTTTATTGTCGAATTCTGACTTTGCTTTTATGTTGAAGTTGTTGATATCTTTTTGTATTCATTTGGGGATTTCTGTAAGTTTTTGAAACCTATTTAAACAGGACTCGTCCACACAAAGAAAATATAACACAATGACAATAATTCCAAATTCTCCAAAACGAACTTTATTGCTAAATATAATAAGAATATTCAACTTTTAAGTGATAGAAACTAATATTTTCATATATTTTCAAACATAAACATTACAAATGCACATTTCAGATTCTTCCGTTTGGAATCCTCTTGTATCCATAGATCACAGTACATTTACGCGATTGCATAGTCTGCACCTGTGTTTCACATTTTTTCAGTTATGATATAATATTTAACATATGTTTAGAATTCAATAATAACCAATATGTAAAATTGTTATAAACAGTATCTGAAATCATATACGGACATTACATTAAATTGAAGCACCAGGTTACAAGCGTACTTTGAAAGTAGGACGGTCTCATTTAAACGTTGAAAGAAACTATCAGAAAAGTCTGCGATGATAATGGCATCAAGGATTGATGTTCCAAAATAAAATAAAAATAAAAATACAGAAAATACCCTATAAAGCGATAACTCATTAATATTTACTAGTCAAGAAAACAAATATTATGTTCATTATAGTTTTGATAATATTTTCCTGTCAATTGTAAACAAAAACAGACACTTTGCATACGATGAGTTTGTATCCTTAAAATATGGAATCATTATAAATAAATACATTTAATTAACTTTAGCTTGAAGGACGAACACAAATATAAACATTCATTTACCAGAAATATAAATTGTGCCACATTCACATCGATTTGATATACACTACATACAGTTCATTCAAAATGCAATTTAAAATATACTTCCTTCATCTTCACAATATGCATACTCATTGAAAAAGTAAACTATCAAACATGAGAAAATAATATCCATATACAATTTTACTCTGGAATGTTTCTTAAGGGTTAAGACTATCTACACACACGAAAGATCACAAGTAGAAACTCTTTTACGCGTCTCTTAAACATGTCCGTCACGAGGAGTTATCGAATTTGATTGATATATGCACATATCTGTGATAAACACTAAAAACATGTGACAGACTTATTGAAACACTTTAAAAATGTATATTATTGTGCACCTATTACAACCAAGTTAAACATATTCATTAAACAATGTTATATCTTAAGGCATATAAAAATCCCTTTTTACAAATCATAGGAATAATTAAAGTAATTGATCTATTTTCATTATCATTTCATATACTCAAACTGAGGTAGCAAACATTGCACTGGAAAAATCAATATTATTTACAATTTATTGGTTCTGAGGGAAATCACTTACTAAACCAAACGCTGTTTCATTTTTATGGTCTGAGAACTTTTAATAAACGGTTGCTACATATTGAATTAATTTCATTTACTACAAGGAAATATTTTTATACATCTTGTCAGTATGATAGGGTTAAATGCTTTATGTAACACATGGATCTATAACTGTGTCAGATTCAATATCTAATAAACGAAGCGAAACGAAAATCTTAAGAAAAAAATTCAGTATAGAACGACTTTTGAAATGCTTGAACATTCAAAATGAACAATCCCATACTAAATAAACCGATTCTTTGTTTGGGTAGCTGAAGTAGCATGCCGTGTCTCGGTAGATCTCGACATGCCTGGGTTTGGCCCCTATCCTCTAAATATGTGAAATAACCGGGCGTGTACTTCTGTAGTGAATACCGGGTATAACCACCTGCTCGAGTGAACTAGCAAACACATCACCAATATGAACCAAACGGCACCTGTATTAATGGGAAAACTTGTTCCTTACACATATGCTAGGGTATAAATTTAACATCTGTACGCCAGACATTGTTTTGCTATATTTTCTCATTGTATTACTTTTGATCTGATACGGCACGGAGCTCTGTTATCTTGATATACGTAGGCTTTTCTACGCTAATACCTTATATTTTCTGAATGACGGAGGTTTCTGTATGATTTATCAATAACGGTGTTATTTTCTTTGTATATGATTTATCAATAACGGTGATAATGCTTTGGGTATAATTTATCGAGAAGGGAGACGGTGTATGACTGTCCTTATAATAAAGTTTGATTTGGCTTTTCGGGTGTTGATTATTGCACTACATGACCATGGTTTAGGGTGTTGATTATTGCACTACATGCCCATGGTTTAGGGTGATGGTGTTTTCACTGTTTGTGCCCTGATCATCCTGTTGAACACAGACTCTGGGTTCGACAATAGATCCTGAGGTTTCCCTGTCTCTAAAACCTGTGTGACAAAGACAAAAAAGATATCGAAAATTAGGACTTTACACATACACACGTTATAATTAAAAATGATAAAAAAACCTATTTTTGTATCAACTATTTATAATTGTACCCTTAAAATATCTGGATTTGCACGATCTGTCAAACAGTGTCCTGCACTGATCGTCATTTGGATCGGATCCTACGATAGACTATTATCATTTTGTAATTGGCTCATATGCGTTGTATGAAATAATCTATTTGCACATTATGTACAAGGCCAATGAATTATATTCACAATCAATTATTACCTTTCCCGCGTCCATGATAAATATGACGTCACAATGTAAGACGGTGTTAAGTCTGTGGGCGATCGTAAGGACGGTACAGTCGGAGAAGCTGTCCCGGATCGTCTCCTGGATCAATGCGTCAGTGGACGTATCTATGGACGCTGTGGCCTCGTCCAGGACCAGGATCTGATACAAAGAATAATTGCCATTGACAGTTTGAACTTCGTTTAAACTATATATATTTGCACTTCCTGTACACTGTTAGAAGAATGAATTGTTATAACAATTCATAGGAATTGTCTGCTTGTAAATGTTAATGCTATATTTATATATATTTATGTCATTTTTTATTTGACTGTTCACATTTAAGACATCTAAATTGTTAAGAATGTAAAGTTGTGTTTCCGTGTTTATAAAAAGGCCTTCTCTATGGAAAGTCAAAATCAGAACTCTTCAGAAGTCGACATGAAGAGGTAAAGAGATTTCGAAAAAAAGGAATGACAATATGATTTGGTTCTTGAGCTGTATCGAAAATGAAAGTGAATAACAGTTCATAATGGCTGAATAGTGGGACATTGTTTCCGTATGTAAAGTTTTAAATGATCTGTGTGTATCGGTGTATATATATTATAGAATACTTATTGCAAAATGAAATCCAGACAAGATTCCAAATTGTAATAATATCAGGAATATCAAATTATTATCGTATTAAACATAAGAAGATTACTTTTTATACGGGTATATATATATATATATATATATCTATGCATTTTAAGTTTTTACCTTATTTCGTCTCAGGATAGCTCGTGCAAGACAGATCAGCTGTCTTTCTCCAACAGAAAAGTTTTCTCCATTTTCTTCAACTTTGAATTTTAGTTGTTCACTATATCCTTTGATCTGTAACAAGAAAACGAGACTTCACGAAAGTTCAATTAGGACAGTTGGTATAGGAACCTTTTATATCTATATCCGTTATGAACAACCTATTTCATATTTTAATGACCACTCTTGTTGTCCCGGAGGTGAGTGACATGACGGGGGATGGGGGTTCACAATCATAAATGTGTGAGGAAAAACTGGAGTGCCCGTAGAAAGCACACGTGATGGGAAAGCTGCGCCATTACTCTAAACCAATAATTCAAGAAAAGAAATATATTACATTTCAATTCATAACAGAACACAAAAGATTGATACTGTATATTTTGTTTCCTGTTTTCTTAACTAGTTAAACCAAGATCATGTAAGAAATGATGTCAGGTGTTGTAAGTATCTGATTTGCGAATTCGTACTCCTGCGAATAATTTGTTTGATAAACCTTCGGAAAAAAATCATTTTATTACAATTTGCCAACTCGAAACCAGGGAAATGCAGTAAAAATAACTATCAGCACAACGATGGATACCTGTAATGGAACTATCCTCAATCTTTTAAAACCAAAACAAACGTAAATTATCAGATATATCCAGAAGTGTATACAATCACTTTCCTATCCATATTCTGAATACGAAATATGACATAATACAGTAAACGCCAGTCCGGATTTTAATAGGTCGAATCAGGGCTGTTGATTTACCTTTTCTTTCATGTGAACTTGCTCTACAGCTGCCCATATCACCTCATCTGTATACAGGTCAAATGGATCCAAGTTGTATCTATAAGAAAACAAAACAGAACAGATAAATAGTTACTGTTGGTTAATGTGTCTACAGGATTAATCAATTCTCCGGACGACTGGAAAGCCACGTGATCTACTAGTTTATTGCCATATTTGGATGTACCACTTTAGGTCCATTGCCTTATATACTCTGTATTGAGCTTTTACTCAGTGTTAACGCATATACCACGTGCCATGTTTTCAGCACTAATTTGATGTCATACCTCAGCGTGCCAGTGAAGAGGACGGGATCCTGTGGTATAGCGGACAGACGGGATCGTAGTGTTTTTCGAGGAATATGGGCGATGTCAACATCATCTATCAGGATATGACCCTCGGACAGATCACAAAGACGGAACAGGGCCGCCGCCAGGGAAGACTTACCTGTTTCATATCAATGTCACATCACAATGGATGAGACTAAACATATGTAATATCGATATCATGCGATACATGGGATGAAATGTATAAGCATAATTGAACTAAATATACTTATTATTTAAAAAAAAGTCGCAATAATTCCATTATTTGTCCGAAGCTATTTAGATTGACTTTTGACTAATTTTTGTTAGTGGAAATGATTTTAGTAAAACAATACGCTGAACAAAAGTGTACATTGTGTCGATTTCAAAACAAAATATAATCAATGAATGAACCACTTCACACAAGAACCGTTTATAACCACTAAACCACTACTTGGCAATTCGATCAAAACTTGGCGAATAATTTGGCCAAACTATCGATTTAATCGAAATACGCTTGCTAATACGACATAAATATAAACAATTACGTACCAGCGCCTGTCCTGCCTACAATGCCGACCTTCTGTTTCGGTTGAATATCTAAATGTATGTTCGTTAGAACAGGGTCCATGTCTTTTCGGTAGCGCATCACGACGTCGGAAAAGACCAGTTTTCCATTTTGAGGCCAGCTCTTGTCGGGGATCACAGAGGCAGAGTCCTCTTCTGTGTCTATGTTCTAAAGGAGGAGCGTTCAGCCGTTGTTCAATTTGTACATTACATAACATTGCATTACATTTAGTCAGCTGTATTTCCTGCGGAAATAACATTAAGTTAGCTATACTGTCTTGTTGATAAAGAACATAATTCACGATTCATTGTTCCTTTGATATTTATTATGATGCGAAGCCCCAGTTAAACTGAACAAGATTAATCTCAAAGAAGCAAAGTATCGTGCTTCCCTACCACCAGGCCAATACATGTTTTATTATACTGAAATAAAACAAACAAATAGTTATTGTGGTCAGCTTTACGCGTCAGTGTTGTGGTCCGTTCAGTCACTTGGAATCCGGTTGTGATGACTGTTGCCTATGTATGTTTCTTGAGTTGCTTCTAATAATCGAAATATCGCCATGGAGCCGCATTTCATTTTAATGTTTGCATTTTTGCATTTTTCACAAATTTTTATCAAAATTTATTTTATGACAACGTATGTTAAGTATCTCCTTTGTAACCTCTTACCGCTTCATATTCATGTATCCGCTCAACAGAGGTAAACCTGGACTCCGTCTCGTTCGCTAATCTGACTATAAACTGCATTGAGGACACCACCTGTGTAAAACAGAAACATTTATTGACCCATATAAAAGTCGAAGGCGTTTTTCTCAAGGATTAACCTACATTTCTCACAAACAAATTACTATAGGATTACTCTAACGATATTACGGAAAGATCTGGAAATGATAAATATGAAAACGCTTTCCCGTTAATTCTTAAAAGGAAGATCAAAAGAGAAAGTGAGAAGGGGGGGGGGGGGGGGGTTAATAATGACGAAGTACACCCACCCTAACACACAGAATATATGACAAGGCGGCAAAGGAGGGAGCGATTGTTCCCTTCATTAAAACCATGGTCAGCATGGTGATTACAATCATTATAGAGGCTGTCACATCCAGTCTGAGTTCAATCCATCTCATCAATCCTTCAAAAAGGAACAGACCCGTGGTAGTCACATCCGTGAACTTCATACATCTATAACCGAAGAAGACATGATGCTATTGTTGTATGCAGTCACCGAATATTATTCAATACAAAATTTTACGAGATCTTACCTAAATTTTTTTGTTAATTATCCATGAATTAAATCAGATTATGTATAATTAGCCATAGTATGCTTATTATTTACGAAAACTCAGAGTCAGCGGTGAAAACTTGAGCGAATCTGCACGACTACTGTGAAGCATTTAAATGAGATATTGTATGCTTGTTTGCTAATATTTTCCGAGGAGTCATTACTGTCACCGTAATTTTTCGCATAGCTAAATTTCCTGTCAAATTGAAGTACAACTTTTCCATTTTACAATTTCATTTTAGGAATGACTATACTGCATCTCTAAAAATAAAGATATTAAGTCATTCTAAAGTATAATTTACGTTGATAATAAAGTAAGGAGTGTCTTCAGTGTTGTTTGGAAGTGATAAATGCTTACTCTTTGATGAACTGCTTTTGCTGTTTAAAGGAGACGATTGTAAAAAGGCCTTGCCCGGTTGCAGACACATGGTTGATTAATGGGGATTTCACAATGTTTTCAAAGCGTTTTATCTGCCTGGTTGACTCGGTCGAGAACCTTTTGAAGAAATAAAATACTATAGTCGTAACAACAACGGCGAAACAAGTCCAAGGAAGATTGAAGACTGCCGAACCTAAACACATGACAGCCATTACCAACAAACGAAGCAATGCATCGATGTAGATGGGGAGGAAGACATCACCTAATTGCAAAGAAACAAATGTTTTGTTAGCACATATTGATACTTAATAAGCGAAAATAATAAATACCAGCGTCAACACATCAAGATGAAATCGGAAAAGTAGCAACAGGACAATTCAGAATATAAATGATACAAATTGCAATTATACAGTGCAGCTAGTCTCTATTCTACCAATACGATAGCGGAAGCTGGTTTTAATTGTACTAATGCAATAGAGCTAGTTTCAAATGTACTTACGCAGCATAGCTATATCCATTATACTAACACAGTATAGTTTCCTTTTATAGGAGGCAAGTTTCCTTTATCCCTCCCTTACTAGCTCTTGTATTACTTTGATAGAGCTTACCAATACATATTGGCTATACTATAGCGCTTTAAATTCGCGGGGTCAATATTTCGCGGTTTCGTATTCATTACATATTCGCGGGGGTTAAATTCGCTGTGGACCCGAATCCGAAATGTCGCGTAAAGTATTTTGAGTGTCATCATTTAAGGGTTAAACCTCGTAATACATTGGTAAACCATTTGGAAACACTGATCCCGTGTCTTCATGCGAAGAAAATCACATGTGTATGTACCTTTGTTGGAGAAAACTGTAATCAATTATGCTGTGGCCACTTATATGTAAGTGTTGTTTTTACATTGACTGCGCAGCTGTCCGATGATAATCTGATTTGAGTTCATTGAAGCTTGCCTAACAGCGTCGGATAATAAGTATTTTCACCATCTTGTGTTAAGGCCCCTGGAAGTGGTTAACTTGTTCGATAACTTCGCTGGTGTTTAGAATTCGCGGATATTAGTCAAAGCGCGAATATAGCGAAATTAAAAACCCCGTGAAATATAACCGCTATACCGTGGGTGCTGAATGGCAAATCCCATTCCTCTAGATTATTAGTTTACAAAATTAAGTAAAAGTGCCAAGCTGACATTGATCTTGTAATTGGTACTTTTTTACCGATACTGTGTTGTAAGTCTAATTTTTCTTTCAAGATAGCTATATCTGCATTTCATATCTTTTGACAAAATAGACTGAATTGGCAAATACATTATGCCTGATTGATGTACAACATGGTAAATGGTGGCATAAAATGTTAACAAATTCAGATTTTCAGATAATGTAAAGATCTTACGATTCATTGTTGTTTTCAGATAATTTTCTTATTAAGGTAGTGTATGATGTAACGTAGTACTATTCCAAGAGTCCATAATTGTAAATGATCCATGTGTATATTTATAATAGCATTAATCTTATAAAACTTAACTAACTTTTGGTTGGACAAACAGGACAACCACAGTCGTTGGGAAACCCCATAGTTAAGTCGTATAATTGTATATAATAAGTATACTTATAAAATATTACTGCAATAATTACTTTCGTCCAGATCTTGTGAAAACCTGTTAAGAATCCGTCCTGCTGGGTTGGAATCAAAAAACAACATGGGAGCCTTCATGATGTTTGCTAATGCCCGGTTGTGTAATAATCGAGTTGCTCGCATCATCATCTGGCAAAACAGATTATTTATATTGTGTTAATGATAAAAATGACAATGAGAGCAGAGAACTACGGCAACATAACAATTTTCCATTGTTAACCATACCCGGATTAATATGAAATTGCAACGACTTGATTATATAAATATATATATATTAAGGTATAATAGTGAATTTAAGGTACAAAAACGAAAATGTCGGACTGATGTGACTAAAAACAATTCAAAAATAAGAACTAGTAATTGATTTGGCAATTTAATGAATGCAGCATTCATCTGGAAAACACTAGTTGTTTGCACCGATGTATCGTTTCATTTCATTTGTATCCTTTCAATTTTGACCAACTTTTTCGTAGAATCGAATTAATATATTTATAGTTTTTCGTACTCAGTCTGTTCTGAGCAAGTATATCAATGTTACGATATTACAGTAAACACTCAAATCCCGATTACAATTTTACAACTACTATAGAAAGATAGAGTGTATGCGTTATCTTCCAAAGCAAGAGGGAAAACATCGTTAACGGTTACAACACCGAATGTTGCATAACGAGCTCCATCACGTTTCGTGTCCCCAATAGTTGCCAAAGTAATGTAGACCGTTCGGGAGAATTCAATACAATTTATCTGGAATGTGGACAAGATTCAACCTGCAATATGGACAAAAATTAAATTCCAGTTATAATTATATGATTCATTACAGACAAGTTTATTCAACAATATACATACCACAGATTGTCCGAGTCCTTTTATGATATTAAACACCATGATACCTATCATTGATCCCAGATATATAAATAGGTAGAACCGCAGCCTAGCTTCGACGTCTATGGATGGAGCCCCGGCTGTAGAGTTGCTGTCTTGTAGAGTATATGTTTGATTAAGGTTTGGTAATAAACCAATGGAGTTAGGTGTTGATGTATTTGAATACCCTGTGAAGTTAACGGTGATGTTTGCTGCAATAAACGTTGTAAATGCGGCCTGAAATAAAGAAATAATTCATTTTACTAATGGCAGTGCTGACGTAACAATGCGATAACGACTGTAAAGTAATTAGCGTGTCAAAGACAAATACAACAGCATAAACCGCGCGCAGATTCATCAAAACAAAACAAAAGACAGACCGCACACGAATACTCGAATGAGAACAAAAGATGAAAAGAGGAACTGCGCGCAAATACAACACCAAAAAAACTAAAAATGAAATGAACAAAAGAAACTATGCAGGGACACATCAAAATAACATCAAATACATAATAAACGTCTCTAGTAGCTAAAGCTATGCCACTTTTGACTTTGGAAACACTACAGCATGACCAGCCTCGATCTGGGACTGTAGTCAGCGGCTCTATACTTTGGTTAAAACTTTGGCGCATACAGGGTTACTAGTGTTGATGTTCTTATATGATATCGATACAAATATACGAAATTTTCTTTAAATCTCGGTATAAATATGTTTTTTTTTCTGTAAACTACCAAATAGCTTTTGTTCATTTCTATCAAGGTAATTTTGTGTGTGTTTACACATTGTAAAATTCTTATAGATTTGTGTAAAATAATCCAGAGAAGTTGTGTTTTATATAACAACACCTGAATGAAAATCACTGCCAAAGAGAAATGACAAGAATAACAATCCAATGTGTGCTTCGTTAACTCTCGAATCCAGAAAATTATATTTGATTGAAAATGCTGTGAATGTCTAGTATGCTAAGGTTATCTTACAACTTTATTATTAATTGTTACTTCGTCATTTGGGTGTTTGGCCCTGTATTATGATTCAAGTTGTCAATTTAGATTTAAAAAAAATAATGCCAAGTGTAAATTGAAATTAAACAAAATATGTAGATAACTTACGTTATCTCGCAGCCAGACTCCCAGCCACCAGTCAGTGAAAACAAGCACGGCGCACGAGATAATAACCAGCAACATAACAAAAGACAAAGGTACATAGCCCCCGCCGGCACTCATATACGACTTGTATGTTCCCCAGGACACATCACCGACATGTGCTTCTTCTTTTTCCGTTAGATTACCTGTTGTAAAGGGAAACAATCCTTGTAACTGTTGTTTCATGTCAGGAAAGCGAGTATCTTGGTCCGATTAAATAACGTTCTGCCGCAGATATATATATATATTTTATGCAATTTAATATTTTTCAATACACAAAAACAGTATTTGTTGAACAACGTGGTCTTAAAAAGATATACACACGTTATTTTCACACTACAACACACGTTGTTTTAAGATTCAATTTAAAGGCGTTATCTTTCTGTCAAGTTTTCACCTTTCTTCTCGTCGGCGTTTGATGATGTTTTCTCCTTTGATTCATTCGGTGATTGGATTTGACCGTGTTGTGAAGACGAGTATTTGTTATCTCCTAAAAATAAGATTATTTAGGGTAACGCCTGTTTATGTTTTACCCAATGTCGTGCTGATAATTGTCCATGCCTGTTAGTATTACACTTATATTTCTATTGAAGATAATTCACAAATATTGACATTGATCATCTATATTATAGAATTTCCATAACTAAGCAATCGAAGGAATTTACAAGAAATCAATATTTTTATACAGATGGCGTGTAAATACCAAATCTGCACTTAATTATAACGACTACTGATATTTATAAATGTTTTTTATATATATATATATATGAAGGCTCGCTAAAGTACTTTATTATATCTGCTGCTAAATCATGAAGCAGGTTACCTGATAATTGAATTGATCTCGATGCGCAAAAAACGAATAGCGCTAATATAAATATTTTGCAGTATAAAGAACATTTCATTCATAAAAACATATGCATATCATAGTCTTTATAATAGATGATTACCAGTTGCTGCGTTGTGTGAGGTTGTAGCGTGAAATTGACCCATCATCGAACCGTAGTAACCATTCCGGTCTATCAGATCATAATGATGCCCTCGCTCAGCTATCTTTCCCTCACCGATCACCAGTATCTCGTCACAATGTTTCAAGTACTAGAAACAGATTAACGGTAATGTATCACTAAATTGATTATATAAAGGTTCCCTAACTCGAGATAATTGGCACCTTTATCTATCTCGAGTTAATGAATTAATGTATAAAGACACGCGGTTTACCAAGCTTAATTGATATATCGAAAATTAATCAATGAGAGTAGATAATGGGACTTTTTACTCCAATAACGTTTATATTTCATCTTGAAACCCACATATCTTATTTCGAAATATATTTTGTGTGTTTATACATGTAACTTGGAAAACAGTTGCTATGAGCCACGACGTCACAATGGAAGATGACGTGGAAAAGCAATGCAAGGTCAAGTCATGATTAAAATATTCACCAATGAAATCAAGTCAAGGGTGTTACGCACTAGTGGGTAACCAAACATGTTTTCCAACTACTAACAGGTTTACCCAGTGAGTGGTTTGTGAGGAAAACTATTGCGGTTATGTGAGAAATGTATTTTCCTAGTCCTAGTAAATGTGTCGTACACAGCATGTTTGAAATATATATTTAAATAAAACACAAAAGAAGTCCAATTCAAGGATGGTTTTTGCAATAATGAACACATGGACTACCACTAAATGACTGATTTGTAATAACCATGGCTAGATTTCATATTTTGGAGAGAAATAATTGTGATACCTATGTAACTTAGAGCATATTAAGAGTTAACTAATTTACAACACGAGGCTTATCAATGAAAAGCCATCGTCCACCTGTAGTTTACACATTATGTAAACCGTACCTGTAGCTGATGAGTAACCAGTATCACGGTCTTTCCTGCTAACGTTTTCGTGATACACTTGTGGAACAAATGTCGGCCTACGTGGACGTCCACGGCAGACAGTGGGTCGTCAAGGAGATAGATGGCGCTTTTACTGTAGACAGCACGTGCCAAACTCAGTCTCTGTTTCTGTCCTCCACTGATGTTAATTCCTCTTTCTCCAATCTAAACAAAACATTATTATTATGAATATGATATTGTCAACAAAAGAAAATAATGCAAATGTTTTAATTCTCCGTATAATAATTAAAATGATTTTATGATGGATTGTGTTTCGTCAAAGCTTTCTGATTTGGCACCATACTTTCAATAAAACATAGACATTGCCTTCCCCCTTTTTAGCAATTCGATCCTCATTTTTGATCGATTTTATTGTCCTAAAAATATTATCTTTAGACGTACCTCTGTCAGATCTCTATTTGGCAGCAAATCGAGATCCGGTTCTAACCCACAGGCATAGATAACCTCATCGTACCTTGAAAATAAAAACAAAATGACGCTACTGTCTCCTTATACCAGAATATAACATGATGGAACCTTATCACTTAGGGTTCCGATTATGACATTCTCTTGCGAGTAACTAAACTTACAAATAAACAGTGTTCTACTGGACGTTGTCAGATCTATCATAATTTTTTTTCACGCTTAATTGCAATTTGAAATTTAAACATAAACAAAAACAAGTAATGTTTCTCAAATAAAGTAAAAAAACTTGAATTCAGACTATTGAAAAAATAATTTCCGTACAGTTACATCGTAAATAAATTGATATGAACTTTTATGTGACAAGTAAATCATGTATCAAACTCATTGAAAAATGCTGAAAAATGTCACTAATAGTTCGAAGAATTATGAAGACAGGGGTTGGAAACAAAATTTAATCAATATTTCCTCAAATTATATTGTACTATACAACATAAGATCTTCTTCTTTATGTAAGATAAATCACAATGTATAAAATGTAGCACAGAGGGATAAAAAAGATACAAAATCAACACACGGGGTCTAGATTAATAGACAAAAAGTTATCGAGGAAACATCGAGACAAAATCGTAGGCAACACCGGTTTCTCTGACAGATTAAACTTTTTACACCTCTTGTGGTGTCCTTGTCAAATCCAGAAACACATAAAGGGTAACAAATGATCTAACACATAATAAACAAATCTTTAAGTAGACCTTCTACACCATAGATCATAACCTTACAGGATGTATTCATCGGGAAAATCTTACAGCAAAATTTAAATCGAGCTTTAGAGTAGCCAATTATCTGTGACCCTTTATTAGGGGTGTCAAACCAGTAAACGTTTGCTAACCGGTTACTCGAACAATATTTCGATCGAGTAACCGGTTAATCGATCAATTTAGTAATCAAACAATAAACAAAAACACCACTTTGTATGTTTAGCAATTGTTCTATATAAAACATATTAGCATCACACGAATACATCAATATGTCAATTCGCATGATAGTTTACTCGCGTTTGCAAGCGAAACGCAGGAAATAGTTTCACGTAACCAATGTAAGTATATTTCAAGGACAACAAATGTCGGAATACAGTAAGACGGGATTCAATTTAAGTAATCTGTACTCGAAATCGTATGCGGTAATATTGTTCTTTAGAAAAAAAATTGCTTGACAAATATTTTAATACATGTTTGCTCATTCAAGTGTTTACTCTTCAGATAATATTTACATATCACATGTAAAAGCGAGCTCTACCTCTAAAAGTTGATATTTCACAACTTTGTGTTCTGGCTTCCTTTTTAAACCTGTTTAGGTTTTTTATGGTGTTTGCGGCATCTCTTTGTTAAGTTTTAAAATAAAATACAAAAACAACACTAACATATCCGTCCGAACACTGCTTTTATTACAAACTATCCGATTTTAGTCTCATCTATAGATACTTTGTAGGTCTAAACAAGGGAACATTGGACTCAGCAATGGAGTAAGTAAATGTCCTACTATTCGGTTATTCATTTTGGTAGCCGGTTCGAGGTCTCCCGACCGAGTGACCGGTTAACCGGCTAACCGTTGACAACCCCACTGTTTATCTTTATCATGAAGCCTGATGGCATGTTAAGTTGTGAAGAGATTAAAACTACCATTATTTTATAATACGAAACGGTACGCAAAATAATGAGATGGATTTTATGAAATTATCATCTGTCTGTATTGGTCAGGGCTATGAGAGGAACATGACATAGAAAATAACTGGTAATGCGATACTGATAAATCATTTTCTGTATATCATCATTACTCTTTATGTCCCACTATAAGCTTGACATCGTCAGACTGTATACTGTATTCATACCATTCGTTGTCGTATTGTTTTCCGAAAAGAACGTTTTCTCTCAGCGTTCCATTAAATATCCAGGCTTGTTGCGCGGCGTAAGCAACAGACCCATCGACGGCAAGGTCACCTGTCAATTTCGGCATCTGATCATCAAAGGAAAATACATTCAGGAATAATTCGAAAATAAAACAGAAGAATAAAGTTCATATATTAATAACAATCCAGGGGACGGAGTTTCAATAATGGGCAATCAATATCTAATCAACTTCACGGACTAACGTTCTGCTTATCTACATATTGTCTTTCCATTATATACCGATTTATATATGTAATTAAGCTAGCTTTTTTCCAATAAATAGATATTAATCCAAGATTCAATGCAAGAGATGATAATATAAGAAGCTGATAAACTCACGCGGCCAAGAACAGCATACAATAAAGAGGACTTCCCACTGCCAACAGAACCACATATACCAACCAGATGTCCCTATAATAGTTATAAAGGTACATACTTAACCACAATGAATACCGTAGCCACATAGCCATATTAAAACAACGTACATACTATGTCAACATGTCCAACAATTCTTTATCTCATCGAAAGACAAAACATTCATTGTAATTACTCACACGTTCGATACTGTAACTTGTATTTAACTTTGTATAACTATTTCTAAATAAGAGTTCCTTATCAATGTCGCCGTTTCATGATTTTGTTTGGTATTTTGATTTTACCAATCAAGAAATATATTACATTGGATTCCTTATACACTTAATTTCACGAAGTTTTCCATCTTAATATTATTTCATTCGTCATGTATGTCTAACATGTATATATAATTTTTATCGTGATTCTTCAATTTTCTTTTGATACTGAACGAGAATTCACGCAGAAATCCATAATTCATGAAAAATAATAATTAGCATATAACCAACATTAGAAAAGACTTAGTCAGAACAGAGGCAAAGCAATATTTTTCAATTAATGATATGTACATACATTGAAAATAAATAATTAAATATTTGTATTTTCTCTGTTGATATTTAAAAAACCCAAAAAACTTACCTTTTTAACATTTAACTGTATATCATCTAGGTTAAAGGATGCAGTACTCTCTGTACGTGAAGCATTCAAGACCACATCTGAAATACAATAACTCCGTTCATAATTTTGTTTCTTAAAGCGCGTTACATGATTTAAGAGCTTTTGGACATTGCGTTAATAAAACATAGACTAACTTATTTATACAATTTAATAAAAAAAGCCAATAAATATGCATAATTGAATAATACGATGCTTACTCTTTTCGTCTTTCTTTTGCTTCTTTTTCTTTTTCTCCTTCTCATCAGGTAGATCAGTTAAATCTTCCCACTGGAAAACGCCGTCCCGAATTTCGATAGCATTGCTTTCATCTCTGACGAGAGAGGACGGTGCCGTATACTCGTCTCTTAAAAGAAATTTCTACAAAAAATAAATAAATGTTTGCAATGAACATGTTCACTAAAGGTTATTTGAAAACACAAAAAGAGTGAAATATCAGGTTGTAAAACAGAATCACACACCTTTATTCGTTTCATAGTGATCTTTGATTCTCCATACATCCGCGTCGCAAAAGGTACACTTGTAAGTAACACCCGGAGATACTCCATAGTAGCAGCTAAAGCAAATGCCTGTACAAGAAAACAGCATCACAGTCACGACGGTGAAATATGGCCGTAAAAATAGGTTACTAAAATGTAATCTGTCTAATATGCTAAAGCTTTTTTTTTTCGATTATGAATAATATATCTAATTAATTTCTTAATTCATACGGTATTAATACCAGTAACATTAAATGTTATCTAAAACGATTCCTTTTTATAAGATTCTTCATTGTTGCTTAATAATATAGGACATTTTCAATAATGAGAGATTTGGATAAAGGTGATGTTTCGCCTACGTGTGTTAGTAGTTGTACAGCAGCATGTTAAGTTAACAATCTCAAAAATTAAGAAATACAATTAAAAGAGATCAATCTTGAGATATATAAAATAATTTTATACTTAACACTTTCAATCTATATTCCAATCGAAACAAATATATAACATATCCCACGGATGCGCTTAATTTTTATTTTTTTATTTCTATATTGAAATACACTTCATCCTGCCAATGATAGATTAAGGTTTAGAATCCTATTGATCTTTCAACATTTTCTCGAACAAAAAAGGTTTGCTTTTCAGGATTACTGTCCCTTTTGTCACAATTGAGATAATTAAAATTGGTGGAAATTCCCCAAACTTACGTAATAGAAACTGTACTTATTTCTAACGTGTTTTCGTTAATGAAACGAGAATAAAACCAATGAAGAACTTCAAAGAAACTACGAAGCATTGGCCACATTCCTTCTGGATTATAATGGTGGTAGTGATAGCAATTGTTTGAAAAAAACGAATGTTATATTTTGTCAACAAAACAAACCGTTGACGCTGTAATGCTGTTACCAAACGCCATATAGGCCGCTAGTGTGGAGACGGTAGCCACAGATGGCGCCACAGGAATGATGGCACTGGCCACAGAATTAAGCACAGCTGCTCGCATTAAAACCCGCACCTCGCTGGTCCTAATTCCTGTAATAAATAAAAAATAAAATTTACCGATGACCTCCTAAATCTAACGAGGTGTACATATTGGTATTACCACACCATGGTGTAAATATGAAGTATGGGTGTTAAGGCGATCACGAGATATCTTGCGCACAATTGCACACGAACGGCCATACAGACGCTCGGCGCACACAGGCATCAACAAAGTATTCTATACCCCCTGACTTAGGAGGGGTATAATTTGTAATTGGAATATCTTCAAATAAACAGTTGTTTTGAAAAACTCTGATCCACTATATCGAATCTATGTTAAACCAAATGATTTTAATACAGATAAATGATTGCCAAATATCGCCTCCTCTGATATTGTCGAAGAGTCTATATCACTTACAAATATTATGTAGGAGAAGGTTATCTTTCGATTTTGTCCCACCTTTAATAACATGTAGAAATGAGTCTTCCCAACCATACATTTTGATCATTTTCATACTATATAGCACCTCCTTCATTTTCCGTATCTGAAAAAGAAGACTGGGTATTTCAAAAAATAATTTATTATTTTTTCTTAATAACAATGACAAATATTTTCATTTTGAAACTCTTATTGAATTTTACAAAATAGCTTTTTTCATGCCCTTTCATATGTTTTTGACTTTCTGATGTAAACACTTGAATAGTTCAAAATCTATTCCAATATTCATTTTTATGCAGCGGAACTGATGGTGGTTTATGTCTAGTATTTGAGTTTTGAAGTTAGTTTAAATATTGAAGGATTTGGAAATTGTTCTCATGAACTCTTGTTAATATTCTGCTATTTACTTTGAAATATAAAGTCATAGTGTTTCATCAGAATGCGTTTACAAATAATCATTAAGAAGAAATTAAGACATTGCATGTCGTTTTAAAAAAAAACCATGACGAACAAGCTCCTTTAAACATACTTACTCGTTGGTCTGTATATACTAATGTTTTTCGTCTGAGGTTTGATATCATGACGTTCAACCGTGCCTGAAACATAAGCATATTTCCTTTGTTTGGATGAATATTCTATTTACATATTATATAACAGATTATACCAGGAAAGGTGGAATATTCGGGGGAAATAAAGCTAACCGGTTGGTTTTAGCTATTATTATATACAAACTTAAATTCCTTTAAGGCAAATATCAAGATTATGTTTTAGACCAATTTAAACAAAATCACAGGTATTCAAATGTTACTCTATAAATAAATTAAAAAAAAATGAAATGAAAATATGCCTCGATGAAATTCGACAGCAAAATAAGCGCTTAAACCTCACCTGCACTTGATAACAGAATATGAATACTCCGAGAGCAATGAAGCACCAGGGTCCTATCAGGTAATATGAATATATGGTTCCTATGACGAGGTAGAAAGGAACAGCTATCAAGAACGCCAGCGTCACACAGTTGATATGTAGTCTCAAGGCATCTGCCCCAAATATGGTTATGACCTGTAGCACAATAAGTAATACAATGATGAACCCCTATAATGCACAATGGAAGGATATAAGGTACGGGTTTCCTTAATGAACATGGCATCAATTATTGTTTTGAAACCCCGGATGTTGTGAAAGTGTGGGTGGCCTTGGAATTTTGAAAAGTGCTTTAATCTTATTTCATATATTTTATCTATTACGGGACAATCACTGCAAATACATTGATGATTTGTAATTATTCTTTATATGTATGTGAAACAAAATAAACATTAAAATCTGTTGGAAACATACATTCGAAAAGTCATCAACTTCTAAAGGATCGACATGCAAACTGCATATCGATATATTATTGTATGGTTATGCCATGTTGTTGAATCGAAATGCTTAGATTATAACACCTTAATCAGCCAATGGTAACTCCACTTCATAGTCAATAATTACAATTCACTCTCAGGCTTATTGCAAATATTTAATCCTTATTCCAATAAAACATTAAACAGTCATGCTTATTTATTACCTTTTACCTTCATGTTTATTAATTTCAATTTACCTGAGATGAAATTTTTCCCGGTAAACTTTGAAGTTTCATGAATTTCTTATAAACCAACCCCAATACACCAGCACGATACCGTACACCTGTAACATAAATAAAACAGTCTTTGTTATGTCACTGAAAGAATAAAGGCAAATACTGTCAGGAACCATATTGTGTGTACATAAAAAGGTGTTCAATTTGCTAGCTTTGCGTTGACTAAATCATTTGAAAGTTGTACATTATGACAGACCAGGAACTACATATATAGGCAGCATTGCTTACTTGAAGGAGACACGAAATATTTGGTACTCATGCAACGTAAGTAGTCAATCAGCAAGTGTTCCATGCGATTGAAACCCTTACCTAAAATTGATACTGGTTCAATACACTGCACATAAGTAAATTAAATGAATGAAAACTTCAGGCTTTTAACTTTCGTAAAAATATATAGTTTTAGTAGAATTTAATATCTGATGGCTGATTTATATAGGTAAACAATAAGAGGATCTTCCGTCCCGCTTTACATGTTTGGCTTGTAAATCACGGGTTGTCAGCAACTGAATATTAAAAACAATCTTGTATGCCATTAAACCTGCCAAACTGCTTTTTGAAACATTGGTCATGTATGCATCTATAAACCTAGTCAGTTGTCACTAATGTTGAACTTCAAATATTAAAACAAATAGCTTCAAAGCTAGTGTATAGCTAATTAGTTGCGTAATTCCTTAACACGCCGACTAAGCCTGAAGTTAGCAGCAAACTGACGTGCATGGTGTCAATGAGAAATCGGCAATGCTATCTAATAGGCTACACGGAATTAACTACTTAAGAACAGTTAAACGATATATCTATCGAGTGTGTTTAAAGAATGCGGTGTTCTGATTACTACTTTAGACTATCTCTTGTGACTTCATAGTCTCTTTAGTGGTTTTCCAAACTGGCTTTGGTATGAATATCTATCTTCAGCGCATACGTTAGAAAGTGATCAATCAAACACGTCTAACATAGTACACAAAGCCCAACTGTTTGATTTACAGTATAGGTTTACCATAATATGATATTATTGTAGTGAAAATAGATTACCTAGCCATCGAAAAGGACCGTAGGTCTTACCAGTTGGTGTTGAGTTTTGATGACACTTTACGGTCAATCGTTTTTGTAAATAGGCTTGATTTTGTTGATTTTACATATGCGATTCAAACGTAACACTGGCCCTGATTGCTCATAGGTTGAGTGTAAAAGGAATAAAGGAGAGACAGACTTCATTTCAATTTCTACAAAGTGTCGTGGACAATCATAGTGTGTAACTGACTATGTGGGTATAATGTATAATATGTGGTCATATCGACCGGCCACCAGGTGTAACTGGCATTGTATATTAACCACAACTACATGTGTGAGGGTTACCAAGTAGTAACATATATATGTATATATTAGCATCTGTAGATAAATAACTCATAAATCAGGATACTCTGAAACAAAATTTGATTTCAAGAATATTATTCGACCGAAGACATGCTGTGCAAGGATTTATCAATTTATAAATATACTTAGATTCAAAATGCAATATGAGTGCAGGGCAGATTAAACAGTAAATTGACCAGCATCTACATTGTATATTATGCGGTGGTGTTTAAATGATGGATGGTTCTGTTTTACCTGTATGTACTCCAAACATGATCAGTAAATTGAACGATGTCGCTCTAAGCAGCTGTCCGACAAAATTCCCTCCTAGAAGTGCCAGGGCGAACCCGAGATTGGATTCCTCTGATTCCAGGTATCTGATGACCATGTTAGTAATGTAACCCTGAGGAGAGAGAATTAATATAAGCTTAGCCCACACGTTTACAGCGCCTTTTAAAATACAAATTATCTTTTGCTGAATAAAAACATAATTGAAATTTTTGCAACCTCTAAATATCAAAAAAGGGCAGATATACTTACTGTCATGAAAAAAGTTGCGACTGCATTCACAAGTACAAGGAAAACTGATACATATAAACGTGTTTTTGTAAATTTGAGCCACGTCCTCATAAAAGAGGAATTTTCCTTGCCATGGTCCTTCACCTCCTTTCTCCATAGTTTATCTAGTCTGTGAAAGGAGACAAAAGGAGAGAAAAAAAGACAATTACTTAATGTTCTACAGTATAACCGTCACTATAACCCAACATATGTAGAACCGTTTCAACGACTTTGTGACAGTTCAGTAACGCAGTTATTTAACCTTTTATAGGACTGTTATAATACTTCTGTTTTAAAAAAATCAAATCTGCAGACTGAGTCAAACATGGGTTAATTTCAAAGCGTCCAGATATGCTTTAAAATGATATTGCGATGGGTATAAACTGTAACAGGGCCGTGAATTAGCTAGAATCACATTCACCTGCCATTCTATGTGCAGGTTGATACATAATAGCCGAATCTGCTAGAGAGGCCGTCCCCAATTTAAAATCCTATCTGTGGTGAGACCATTGAATTAGTATATATTACATAAGTAATCTAGAAAAACGGCTTTGCTGTTGAGAGCGAACGTTGGATGTTTTTCCTTTGGCTTGTCCCTTGGTTTAGCTAAACCTGTACATTTAACTTTTCTTTGTCTTGTCCCTTGGTTTAGCTAAACCTGTACATTTAACTTTCCTTTGGCTTGTCCATGGTTTAGTTAAACCTGTACATTTAACTTTTCTTTGTCTTGTCCCTTGGTTTAGCTAAACCTGTACATTTAATATGATTAGTATGGCTACGGATACAGCAAGGTAGGTGACTTTGTTTCACAAAAGTAGCTGATTGAGTTGCATGTTCATTGTTTCGTGAAAGTCGTTTATATTATTATTCTGTCTCTTTTGATCTAATTTCAGTGATGGAATATGATTCTAATGTAAACGCGTTTAAGTGTATTATTAATGGAATATTAATTATTTTTGTATACATGAAATATAGCCGAAAATCAATAGGAAAACAACCTGCATGTAAATGTGTAGGATACAAGGTGTATATGCCCGAGGTAGTTATTCAGCATGAATTAGTGCATACTTTAAACATGGTTGTCTGACGTAACACAGTAAAACGTTAACTGGATTCATGAACATAAAATAAACAAAATACACGCTTAAGACACACCGTATAACATTAGTACCGGTTGTACACCTTGATATGAGATGGTATCGACGCATTAAATAGATGAACGAGATCGATATATTCACATGATTCTGGAAGAAGATCCATTAAGAAAATATACATGCATCTTATCTACTCCATACCATATACATACATCTTATCTACTCCATACCATATACATACATCTTATCTACACCATACCATATACATACATCTTATCTTCTCCATACCATATACATACATCTTATCTTCTCCATACCATATACATACATCTTACCTACTCCATGCCATATACATACATCTTATCTACTCCGTACCATATACATACATCTTATCTACACCATACCATATACATACATCTTATCTTCTCCATACCATATACATACATCTTATTTACTCCATACCATATACATACATCTTTTCTACTCCATACCGTATACATACATCTTATCTACTACATCATATACATACATCTCATCTACTCCATACCATATACATACATCGTATCTACTCCATACCATATACATACATCGTATCTACTCCATACCATATACATACATCGTATCTACTCCATACCATATACATACATCTCATCTACTCCATACCATATACATACATCTTTTCTACTCCATACCGTATACATACATCTCATCTACTATATCATATACATACATCTTATCTACTCCGTACCATATACATACATCTTATCTACACCATACCATATACATACATCTTATCTTCTCCATACCATATACATACATCTTATCTTCTCCATACCATATACATACATCTTATCTTCTCCATACCATATACATACATCTTACCTACTCCATACCATATACATACATCTTATTTACTCCATACCATATACATACATCTTACCTACTCCATACCATATACATACATCGTATCTACTCCATACCATATACATACATCTTTTCTACTCCATACCGTATACATACATCTTATCGACTATATCATATACATACATCTTATCTACCCCATACCATATACATACATCTTATCTTCTCCATACCATATACATACATCTTACCTACTCCATACCATATACATACATCGTATCTACTCCATACCATATACATACCAAATACATATATCTTATCTACTCCATACCATATACGTACATCTTATCTACTCCATACCATATCCATACATCTTATCTACTCCATACCACATACATACATCTTATCTACTCCATAACATATACACACATCTTATCTACTCCATACCATATTCATACATCTTATCTACTCCATACCACATACATACATCTTATCTACTCCATACCGTAAACATACATATTATCTACTCCATACCATATACATACCAAATACATATATCTTATCTACTCCATACCATATACACACATCTTATCTACTCCATACCGTATACATACATCTTATCTACTATATCATATACATACATCTTATCTACTCCATACCATATACATACATCTTATCTACTATATCATATACATACATATTATCTACTCCATACCATATACAAACATCTTATCTACTCCATACCGTAAACATACATATTATCTACTCCATACCATATACATACCTCTTATCTACTCCATACCGTATACATCCATCTTATCTACTCCATACCAGATACATACATCTTATCTACTCCATACTGTATACATACATCTTATCTACTCCGTACCATATACACACATCTTATCTACTCCATACCGTATCCATATATCTTATCTACTCCATACCGTATCCATATATCTTATCTACTCCATACCGTATCCATATATCTTATCTACTCCATACCATATAGATACATCTTATCTACTCCATACCGTACACATACATCTTATCTACTCCATAGCATATACATACATCTTATCTACTGCATACCGTATACATACATCTTATCCACTCCATACCATATACATACATCTTTTCTACTCCATACCGTATACATACCATATACATACATCTTATCAACTCCATACCATATACATACATCTTCTCTACTCCATACCATATACATACCATATACATACATCTTATTTACTCCATACCATATACATACATTTTATCTACTCCATACCGTATACATACCATATACATACATCTTATTTACTCCATACCATATACATACATCATATCTACTCCATACCGTATACATGTATCTTATCTACTCCATACCATATAGATACATCTTATCTACTCCATACCGCATACATACATCTTATCTACTCCATAGCGTATACATACATCTTATCTACTATATCATATACATTCATCTTATCTACTCCATACCATACACATACATCTTATCTACTCCATACTGTATACATACATCTTATCTACTATACCATATACATACATCTTATCCACTCCATACCGTATACATACATCTTATCTTCTCCATACCATATACATACATCTTATCTCCTCCATACCATATTCATACATCTTATCTACTCCATACCGCATACATACATCTTATCTACTCCATTCCATATACATACATCTTATCTACTATATCATATACATACATATTATCTACTCCATACCATATACAAACATCTTATCTACTCCATACCGTATCCATATATCTTATCTACTCCATACCATATACATACATCTTATCTACTCCATAAAATATACATACATCAGGTAAAATTGCGGCACTTAGCTATAGTAAGCCTATATCGACATCTCTAACTCTTTTCTCCCATAATACGTTTTTTGGTATCATTTTTTTATCATTATTATTCATACAAAAAATCTGCAAGGTATGTTTTTATTCAGAATTGATTGACTTAAACCACTGTCATACGGGTAATTACACTTACAGGCTTAGGCAGTGGAACGGGGATCCATAATGGCCTGTGTAGGCTGTTTGATAGTTTTACTTTCGTTTTGTCATATGAGATAAACATGAGAAATTATCACCTGTCAGTATTGATGCTACTGGTTTCCCAGTCGGAGCACTCCCAGATGTCCTCCTCCTTAATTTGCTGGCCTCTATTTTTGTATATTCTCATCATAAGGGAGGTAATCCATGATACCGTTACGTAAGAGAAAATGCCGGCTTTATTGATGGGAAGCTTGCCATCTCTGTAGGAAACAAACAGAACAGGTTATTAAATTGTCGTAATGACAACTGAACAGAACCGGTAGTATTGAACCAACGTTTGCCGATACTATTATGTTTGTTTCAGACACGATGGCACATCAATCGATTATTTGTCCGTAGAGTCTTACTTATTTGAAGGCCTGAATGGCTTCAGTATCTTTAAAGTTGTTGAATATTTCCGGCTATAGGCGTAATTTAGTGACAGATGACTTTCTCCTAGAGCTCCTATTCCCTCCAAGTTACTGAAAGAAAAAAAACAACGAATGTTGAATAAAAAATATTAAAGATAAAATAATATTTATATTAAAGTATAATGATAGTATACAGTGTGTTGTAATTGTCACATGAAGCTATAACCTTTTATTATAGGTGACCAAGGAATCATTTCAGGGAATAGAGATATATATCAAAATGTATATTTTATTATTTAATATATATATATCCATCATATAAAATGAAAAATTCTCAACAACGAGTCTAAATAAAGTTGTTGTCCAGTCGATGTCCATAATATAATGATTATATAGTCATCTACCTTAAACAGTTTGTATTTCGATACGATGTGTCGTTTCATATATATTCTTTGAGTATAATACACACACGTATTAACCACAGAAGACCAGATTTTGACCCCATGTTGTTAACTCGGGTTCGTATATACATATGTACTACCAATTCATATCCCACCTTGTGTGTTCAGTAGTATTGTTGACATCTAGGTCAGTATTTCTAGCCGAGGAATTTCCCGTCTTAACAAGCAACGGCTCTCCGACCTGTTTTCGATTTACACCATTCATCATTGCCTATGAAATATAAATGAATGTGCTCACTATTAACGTTTGTACATTCGTATGTTCATGTCATGCACTCATTGACTTAGCAAAACATATTACATTATCACATAATTAGACTTATTGCGATGTTTAACATAAACACCGATCATTTTTGTTATACAAATAGAATAATAGTATGTTATATATCAAAAATATGGACAACGTCAGTTTACTTACCGGCTGAATAGACTGTTCATTAACAGGAAAGTACAATCCTCGCCATGTATATATAGGCGGAGCGTATCTTTCTCGCACTGTTTCTCGTCGTTATGAAATGGCTGAAGGCTCGTGTATGACGAGTGGGGATAACCAGCGTAGTGGAAATTGGAAAAGAGCGCAATGTTTTTCTTACCTGTATTTTAAATATGATGTATAGCCACTCTCTGCTCCAAATACGTTATTTTGTTTACCTCCGAAATTATACAGATAGGAATTACGTGATATGTTGATAATTTTGTGGAAAGCAGGAACGATCAATGTGTATCTATGTACGTTACATGTATACTAGCATGTTTTCGGTTATCAGGCTGTCGGTTGATTAAACAAACCTACCTGATAGCCTAATACAACAGTTTGTCTATCGTCGTTCTATGTAAGGTCTAATATATGTATTTAACGGGTAAGTATGTACAAATTCTACATCAATGCGGCCTACTCGTCCGAGATTATGTCATTTAGTTTAAACTTTATTTTATTGATGTTTAATTACAATAGTACATGGTTATAAATACAGAAAAGGATCCAGAAACAAGTACATAGTACTTATGTAAATCCGTCTCCTTTAATCGTTCTATATAACGACCTGTTATTGATTAGTGGGTTAGGAAAACGTGTCTGATATATCAGTTAAAGTAACACCCGTAAGACAGAACTCGCCGATAGAAAAACCTTTAAATTTTAACATATGTTGAGCTACTTGAACCAGATAAAATCAAGGAATTAGATTTTTTATCTAAGTCCGTGATAAAATAGAGGGAAAAACACAATAATACCTCTTTAGCGAGAAAATGGTTTAATCAGACTTAGAATATAGCACCTTTCTTTTGTATTCATAATTATCTTGTATATAATAATACCTGAAACATAATAGCATAACTTAGTTCTCAGGACATGAAATCGACATATATCATCAAAATATTGTTTTCATAATTAGTTTTTCATTACATTATTTTACATAAACAAAACTTAGGAATTGTGTTTGATGATAGTAACCGATGAATTTTGGCCAAATTACACTAAAACTTCACCTATCAGTGATACAAAGTTTAGTTATTAATCTGTCAAACATATAAATAGTCACATGAGGAGAAAATGAAAAACAAATATATATTTCAAAATGTTTTGATGAATTTTCTCTTATATTTGAAAAAATATATACTCAGGAAGATTCCAAAAGATATTTTGGCTTTATGATGGTATAAGCCTGCAGAGATAACCACTCAATAAAGGATATCGCTTCGTTAAATATGCAAGACCACACACTTGTGTTTTTCTAACGAATCAGAAGGCACGAGTTTATTGCGCGGACGAATATATACGTCCGCGTAATAAATGAGTGCTTTCTGATTCGTCAGAAAAACACAAGTGTGTGGTCTTGCTTTTATCACATACCTTCCGTATTTGGTAGAGATCGATACAAAGATTTTATAAACTTTGATATTTTTTTGAAAACATTCCGTATTGCACATGTGCAATACAGAACGTTGTATTTCATGGTCTGAAAATTGCTTGTATTACTATAACAAGATTCAACAGGTATGTGATAAAAAGTAGTTCCGGCTAGTAGGTAAATACAACGTTCCGTATTGCACATGTGTAATACACAACGTTGTACTTCATGGTCTGAAAATTGCTTGTATTACTATAACAAGATTCAACAGGTATGTGATAAAAGGAAGTTAATATGTAACTTTCGACTCAGATTGTCGAGTCTCATGTAAGATAACTTAGGTTATCTGTGTTCTCGGTATGGGCACGAGTAATAAAGAACACGGCCACTTTGTTATGGACAAGATATACCTGTATAATAACATCACCTTAATCGCGTGTTACTCGTCATTGAGAAGTACGCATGACTGGATTTTGTTAGTGTGCTATGTATGCTTATTCCTCTTAACTGATTAACTTGTTATTAGTCTAGAGTCTCATCAGATTGTTAATCTCTACTAGTAACATTACAATATATACTTAACAACTACGAATACAGTTTCATTACAAAGAATTTCAAACCTGTTTTTAGACTCAATGTATCACCATATTATGATATATTTTTAATAATTATAAGAAAAGTTATTGATTCAAACTAGTTTAACAGAATGGTTATAAAACATTCAACATCGACTTTAGCAGGTTGACAAATCAAGGAACAGATTAAACTATGTCCAACATAAAATGAACAATTGATCAATAAAATTAGACAAATTCAGAGGTACGTTGTAAATATTTTCGGTGAGCAATAGTGCATCTTACATATGTTATAACACCTTTTTTTTTTACAATAGATTTCACTTCATGTTTGAAACTCTGAAGGCTGGTTTCAACAACTGGATTTGTTTATCAAATACAATTTTAATATGTAACTAAGACAGTGTTTCATCAGCTAATCAATACAGAGATTCATAGGTTTGTAATCTTTACCTGTAATAGTTGCCGTAAAACACTGTGCCCCGAAGATTTTTTGATATGAAGTTGGTGAGAGTCTTTAGAATGATAGAATTATATTGGTATGAACGTTTGTATAGTCACATCACATTTTGAAATATTTCTTGGTGGATAGACATAAGAGTAAATATTTGTTTTTTCCGTCTTTCTGGGTCACGTTTGCTTACAAACAAATGTGCCACTGCTCAGTGAGGTCGTTTGTAGCCTCATGTATATCTATGAATCTAGACAGTTGTCCTTAGTATTGAACAAAGAGACAAGAATAGTACGTAGGCAGTAGTATATTGTTAGTCGCTAAAGTCATTCTTATACATAACAAATTAAGTCTCTATATAGTAAAGAATGACAAAACTGATAGGTGACACCATATGCCCAAGTTTTATTTAGTGAGATTGTTTATGATAATGTCACAAGAAAAATGATATTCACGTTCACGGTGAAGGTGTTTTTACGGTTTGAGCTCGGATCATCCTGTTGAAAACTGAGTTAGGATTAGCAAGTAAGTTCTGTGGGTGTCCAGTTTCCAAAATCTGCACAAAAAAAGAAAAGAATCAGAATAAGGAATGCGTTTTAACGTAAAATACATAGGAATCAATATCTGTCGTACGATAAACGTTTTATAACAAAATATTCATACAAGAAAACAGTACATATTAAATTATCAAAAAAGATATAATTCTTTCGGGAGTATAACAAGATAAAAACTCCATTTATACATCAGATATTGACCTGACAATTCAGACTCTGCCACAACTTATGTATTATTTTCTTATTTAGACTATTCTAAATGAACTAAAGTTTATTTTCATTATTATTTTCTTATTTAGACTATTCTAAATGAACTAAAGTTTATTTTCATTATTATTTTCTTATTCAGACTATTCTAAATGAACTAAATTTTATTTTTTTTATTATTATTTTATTTAGACTATTCTAATTGAACTAAAGTTTATTTTTGTATTATTTTCTTATTTAGACTATTCTAAATGAACTAAAGTTTTTTTATTATTATTTTCTTATTTAGACTATTCTAAATGAACTAAAAAAAATTTTTTTTATCATTATTTTTATTTAGACTATTCTAGATGAACTAAAGAATATTTTTTACTGATTCTTGGTGTTCTCTTTCTTGTCGTTTGATGATCAATCAACCGGACCCTGCATTTTAGTTTGATACACTCCGACTATTTTGATATAGGAAGGGTGTCGGCTGTGTTCTGATATTCGAAATACCTCTCCAGCTTCCATGATGAGAATGGTGTCGCAATGTAAGACGGTGTTGAGCCTGTGTGCGATCGTAAGGACAGTACAGTCGGAGAAGCTGTCCCGGATCGTCTTCTGGATCAATGCGTCAGTGGACGTGTCGATGGATGCTGTGGCCTCGTCCAGGACCAGGATCTGTTAAATATTAACATTATGATGGTGAGACTATGAATCAAGATCAAACACGGAAATAATTAAGTCCCCAAAACAAAGTGGGGGACTGATTGGTTTTACTCCCTTTCTTCATATTCTTCTTCTTCCTCTTCTTCTTTTTCTGGTTCTTCCGCCGTAAACGTTTCCAGCACATTACTCAAATACTGTTGGACGGACATTAATGAAACTTCATACAGGTGTTCGTCATGGTAGGTGTGTGTGCAAATGACCTTTCATTTTCGGATCTGTTAACCAAGATGGCCGCAACAGCCTCTGATTGGTCGAAATTAAATACTAGTTTATTTTGCTCAAATTTGATATGTAGATGTAATTTTGCATCTTTCAGATAATGGTGGCAGTTTTGGGACCTTTGAATGGCCCCCCATTACAATTAGTACTTGTTTTATTTTTTTAACAATGCTAGCATATGAAGAAGTTTATTTAAAAGTAGGCACAATGCATACTTCTGTTGGTTTATTAAACAATAATAATGCAATCTAAAATATTATACCTCAATATATTTTAAACCACTAAATGAAAATCAAAATAATAAAAGAATATGGCAAATCAATCAGGCAACAACGACTTACCTATGTAACTTATGTTATGCCAAGGACATGTTTTTGTTTTAGATTTGTCAGCTTAACGAACATTTAAATGATGAAAGAATCAGGCAACAATGACTTACCTCTGAAGCTTATGTTATGCCAAGGACATGTTTTTGTTTTAGATTTGTCAGCTTAACGAAAATTTAAATGCACAGTCTTTGTTCAGTATATCTTAAAAAAGGTTGAAGTTCAGAATTGCGACTTTTAATATCAACATGAATTCAAAAGGAACATCTATTGAAAAAAGTAACAAAATTTAAAAAAGATAATTTTCTGATATAAAAAATATAACACTAGCATTCTCAGTGTTATTGCTAACCGATCTAAACAGGCGTTGAACTACTTGGCCGCGACTGCACTACGTCAGGGAGTTAGTTGTATTCCGGCAACGGAAATATTTTAAGCAGAAAAGAATTCTTACGAAATCTCAATGCATGTATCAGACAATTTAACTATGTTTGAAATTTGTTCAGTTATGAAATTACGCAATGTAAAAGTAATTGTATTTGCGTACGTTACTCCAGAGATTCAGAAGTAAGTTAATGTGATGAAATACATTATTTATACAAAATGTATAGATTAGGTTTGAACAACAGGTATTTCGTAACATTTAATATCTCTTTTTTCATGAAATGTTATGTAATTTTAAAGATTAAATGCCTTACCTTATTCCTTCGAAGCACTGCTCGAGCCAGGCATATCAGCTGTCTTTCACCAACAGAGAAATTCTCACCATTTTCTTCGACCTGGAAATCAAGCTGCTCGCCAAACTGTCGTATCTAAAAATTATGGATATTGCAAAATGTAGCGTTACATATACAACGTCAATATGTGCTTTCTTAGCAGAATTTCATTCAAAGAAGAAATGTAACTAGTTGGAAAATCTCTTATATTTCAAAGGCAACAAATCGTGTTATTAAGGTCAAAAGCACTTTCAATTCATTTCTCCTAAGGAACGTTTTTTTTTCATAAGTAAAATGTTCTCTTGTGAATAGAAAATTAATCGGTTACATGCTTTCGTCGTTTTCTAAACCATTTATATATCATGTTTATACATAAGTGTATATCACATAATGTAATGTGTAACCTAGTGAATACAACCATGTCATATTTTTTTGCGTATTAATCCATGTAATATGACCTATCAGCCCTGTGATTGGTTGTAATATTCAATTGTTTCAATTGTGACGCCACGCCTAGGACAAGTACATGAGGTCACAGACTTACGCACTGGCGTCAAAATGGTGGGTTTTTACATTTCAAGGTTGCATAAAAAATGTCGTTTTACACGAATAAATGCTACAGATCTTGATTATGTAAAAAAAGGATCTTACCCTCGTTTTCATTTCATATGAAATTTATGAAACTCGTCACGAAGTTTTCATTCTAGATCGCCTATTTTTAGACTCGTTTCATAAATCTGATATGAAATGGAAACTCATGTAAGATCCTATATATACACAGATGGCAGTCAAATAAATTGCAATCAATTTATCTCCCTTCCTTGTCAAATAAGAAATGAGGCAATGGCAAATCGAAATACCCAACATAATTATGTCAAGTGTAATGTAAAAAATTCTGATCAAAACCGTGATAGAAGATATTTTGATCAGTACCTTCTCTTTCATATGAACCTGCTCCAGCGCGGTCCATATCACCTCGTCAGTATACTTAGAAAATGGATCCAAATTATACCTGTAACGATTTCCACAACATGATACTCAACTTGTTTCTAAACACTGATCATGTTTGTATGTTTGCATCCGAACTAAACAAGGATTCATTTACGTATTAGAATAAAATAGAATGTTTTGTTGCTAGCTAGCGTGAAGAGAAACCTTTTTTTTTCATTTCATTTTCTCCGAAAAAGATTTCATATTTCTTCCAGTATCGAGAAATAATTTAATCTTGCTTGTAACACGCATTATCATTGGCTTAAAGAATTATGTTATCAGCCCATAACGTAAAAATACGATGTCGCCGTTTGTTACGTCGCTTTTGATCTGCTGATACAGCGGCGTATTAATTTCTAAGAGAAAAGAGTCCATCAATAAAAGTGGATTTCCACAGGGATTGTGTATAGTAGATTAAATTATAAGGATTGACTTGAATATGTTTTTTATGTTATGGAGCTATAACACAAAAAACCGGAGGGTACTCTCATCATAAACCGCTTCGCGGTTTATTTAGAGTACACTCCATTTTTTTAATCCTTAAATGACAGACAGGCATATCATTTGCACTTGGTTGGAAACATATGCCCTTGATTTATACCTGTAATAAGTCCATTTGACCAAAATATAACAGGCGAATCACATGCAATTATCTGCCCTGATAGTGCTAGTTAATTTTGATTTAAAAACAGTTATCATTTAGACAGCCTTGTCATGTTCCTAAATAAGTCTACCGGATGTGACGTCAACTGACTCCTGTATCAGTAATAACCACCTGTCTGCACCTGTCCGACGTATCATACCTGAGTGTGCCAGCGAAGAGGACGGGGTCCTGTGGTATGGTTGATAAACGGGATCGGAGTACTTTACGTGGGATGTGGGCGATGTCAACACCGTCAATGTAGATGTGACCCTCAGTCAGATCACATAGACGGAACAGCGCCGCGGCCAGGGAAGACTTACCTATTAAATATCAATACGACGTGGGCAATACATAAGTTTCATTAAAATATGTATATTTCTAATTTATTAACTGGACACAGTTTAAATGAAAATCAAGCATTTATTTCACATCATATTAATAGTCACAGTGACGCAAAATGTTCATGACCCGGACGAAATTTCTGAAAAACCGGAAGATCTAAACACTTTTGAAAACGTCTCACTTGCATACATTATGTTCGTATACTTTTCGTTCTCCTCTGCATCTTCTTACTCCGACACGGACACAGTGTAGATTTTTCCTATTATGTATATATATGTACAATAACTTAACTTCCGTTTAGATATAACAGTAGGATAGTTGGACAGAGACACCTCTGATGACCGAGTAGCGTAATATATTAGAGCGATGGTATATCTTTCTGAAGTCCAGGGTTCGGATCCCGGTCTAGCGCAGCTGATATATTTTTTTTTTAACTCGGTACACTGCTGCTGATAAGCTGTTGTTTATTTCGTCTTTATTATTTCTCATAAAAGTCCCGAAAGGAAATGAATTTCTTTTCAGAAATGATTTTTCAAAGTAATAACCATTCCGAAAACCCCCAAGTTTCCATCATTCCGTTTCGTTTACAAAAACTCGAAATATAACTGGTGGAAGGGAGCTAACTCTTGTAATTTGTCATGATATGTCAAGCTGGTCATGTAAAATTATGTCATTGTTCAGTTAAGTTATATACATATATATATGACCTACATCGTTATGCTGCCGTTGAATACTGTATACTTAATATGCTGCAACTAATAATTTTCATTAAGCTAGAACTAGAAAAGGTCGGTCTTGGATGCTTATAATTTTTTTCTAAATAGATGGGGATTCGTGATACGTTTCCATTTATCTTCTTAGAACTTTTCCTCCAGATTTGATTTCATAACTGCATATTGCTCTGAATTCGTGCAGTATTATTTTCGCCAAGATATTTTAAACAATTGCGCAAGTAGGTCCTTTCTGTCTGTTTTTTGGTTGACAATGGCTAGAAATAGTGACCCGAACGTAACTATCCGACTACTAGTATGTACATTCACATGAACATGTCGACCTCTTGTTTCCGTTTCGTTGTGTTACAGGTCGGGTTACATTACATCGATTTTTTTAAACCTGGATCTTTGTGTTTAGTCTAAAACAAGATCTTACAGTTCTACAATGACACCTGGATCTGATAAATTACTTCATGGCTGAATTTGTGGTCGAATCTTTCCGCAAAAGGAGCGAAAATAACGCTACGACGATAATTACCATGTATACAGAATGTCCTTGTTTATTGAGATATTGTACGTGGAGAGATGCTCACTGACACTGATATATATTATTTTCCCTTAAATACGCTAATCACTTTGTGAAGATGTGCATTTAAGAAAGAATGAAATCTAGCATTTATATACTGATAAATTAATTTTACAAAAACTTCAAAAATGAAGAAAGGATAAAAAGAAACAGCATGCTCTTAATATTCTACCAATAGTTTGTCAAAACTATCTTTTTAATCGAAATACGTTTGCTTATACGACATGAATATAACAATGACGTACCAGCTCCTGTCCGGCCTACTATGCCGACTTTCTGTTTCGGGTGGATGTTGAAGTGTATATTCCTAAGAACTGGATCCATGTCCTTCCGGTAGCACATCAGAACGTCGGAGAAGATAAGTCGTCCCTCCCGCGGCCAGCTCTCATCCGGGACAACGGAGGTGGTATCCGTCTCTGTTTCTAGACTCTTTGATATCAATAACATTCAATTACTTTTGTGTACGATTGTATAATTAATAATATTGATAATAAAATAATTCGAGGTTCTTATATACCGCTTTATCACAACTTAGTTCGCAGGTCGTTTCAAAGGCGGTTCACAGCTTATTATCCGTGGTTATAGGGGCTTTGCAACCAGCCAATATCTTTCTCAACTCCCTGGGGATCATACAGCCGGTGCTGTCATTTCGGCGTTTACAGCTAGCATTCAACAATACTAGCACTGCCCAACCACGTACTCATTTACAGCTGAGTAGACTGGAACAAGCGGAGTAAAGTATCTTGCTCAAAGATACAACACAGTGCCGTGCTGTGACCAGAAACCTGCAACTCTTCGGTAACGAGGCCACCTTCCTACCACTAGACTATCGTGCCTCCAAACTCAACATCAAAAGATAATTAAATACATGTTTCTCCGGACTCCTGATTGGCCAGTTGGATATTATTAACCTTATTTTTTAATTGGAAATTATATGAAATTTCCAATACACCCCTTAAAATGAGTAAAACAATGGATAGTTAATTTAAATTACAGTAAGAAAATGTAGATTTTTTTTTACATATGCTTAGGGCGAAAATACACTTGCTTATCCGCTTTATCTGCTTGAGATGGGAAATGTTTTGTATTTGCTAGTCAGTGTTACGGAGATAATATGCTTAAAATTGGAACTATATTTCTTTTAATACTGGCTTAACTAGGGTCTTTTTTCCAAGATTTACAATGTCATTCGTGTGAACTAGATAGCTTTAGGATTCTTGTATTGGGATTAGTGTGATTGTTTTCCAGTTATTTCGGCGGACAAACAGAACAAACGGACACTCGTTTCTTACCGACTCGTATTCGTGCAGCCGTTGGATGGACGTAAACCTGGCCTCGGTTTCGTTCATGACTCTTACTACGAACTGCATCACAGATACTACCTGCAAGTATACGACATTTAGTCACGTCAATCTAAAAGGTTTCCTCTGATGATAATTTTGTAACAAATAAATGACCATAATGCAATGCTACTTGAAAACAATGATCTGACATGATTGCATGTTCTGTAATCTGTTGAGAACGTGATCTGATATCATAAAGGACCCTTTTTTTCACTGTTTGAGAAAGTAATGTGATGTGATGGTAGACGGTGTTAAGCTGATGTCAATTTTTTCTATAAAAAATTCTGCCAAAGCAATAATTGTTTTCATACTTTGCAAATATTTTACCTCATTTGTAACGATTGTTATGGCAATTTTTTGTACCAAAGTGACAGCTACTTTGAGGAAAAAACATTTGATAAAATGTGAAAATTTGGTACAAAATTCAAATCAAGCTATTTTGTACGATGGCCCATATCAGCCATGTCAAAATACAGCAACTACAAAGGCAATTGGTTTTTGTCAAGTGTGTGACAATTTCTTGTCTAATTCTGCTTTGCTTTCTGTTGTTTTTGACAACGCAGTGTTGGCCCTATACGATTTGACACTTTCGAGCTTTTACATGTAAAGAATCCTCCCAAATTCAACGATTTACTACAACCACATGAAACTCAAAACACAGCTTGAACATATAATAAAAAGATATGGGAGAAGGGGAAACAATTAAGGGTCAAAGGGAAGGAGGAAATATCTTGGTGTGTAAAGACCACCTGTGCTCCATCACGCAGCCTAGTTTTATCAACAACATAATGTCAAGAAACCTCTGACAGAATGTAATTGCTGAAGTGAATTTTGACATGGCTAATATGGGCCATCGTAATGGCACAACAGTTTTTAATATATCCTGGAGGGAGATCTACCAACAGCGGCATTTAAGAATTAGGAAATACAGTTTTGATTGATACACACCGCCAGACAACATTAACATCAGTAGAATTAGTGGTAAACGCACCCTAATGGTCAGTGATAAGGACAGTGCTGCCAAAGCCGGGGATATCGACCCCTTTGTCAAAATCATGGTCATGGTAGTGGCAACTACCAACAGGGACGAGGCGATGTCCAATCTCAGCTCAATCCAGCGCATGCTCCCTTCGAACAACATCAATCCTGTTGATGTTACATCCGTGTATTTCATGCAGCTGTGAAGTATATCAGAACGTGTGATTAAAATAATACTTTAATATTATGATCGATGTTGTTACTTCCTTCAAATGTATCGTTAATTTATAAATATTACTTTATTATTAATTAATTATTATTAATTTTTCAACAATCAAGGCCTCCCGACAATAAAAAAATGACATTGATTTCTTATGTGGGTGTCTTTGTAAAAGTATATCCTGAATATAATTATCTGCATTTGATAATTCAATTCTCACAATACTATACACGCCTGACATTGTGAAGTATTTACTTGACGATGAACTGTGTCTGCTGATTGAACGAGACAATGGTGGACAGGCCAGTTCCGGAAGTGGTCACGTGATTAATGAGAGGCGACCGAGCGACGTTTTCAAATCGTTTCAGCTGCCTGGTGGCTTCAGCAGAAATCTTCTTAAACCAGTAATAGACCACTACGACAGGTAGGAAAGCGATAGCAATCCAGGGAAGGTTCACAGCGGAAGATATCAGCGACATCAAAACCATTAACACGATTTGAAGCATCACGTCCAGTAGATTAGGCAAAAATACATCACCTGAAATAAAAATAAGACGATATAAAGAATAAATGTTGAATAGGACAGGTTACTACTAGATAGCTTTAACTAAGTCATAGAGATAAAACGTTCATGATTTTATCCACAAATAACAAATTTAGAGGTACATACAACTTGACACAAAAGAATGAGTACAGGTTAAGCTAGCCTAAGCTTACACAGTATTCGGAGTTAGCCTGAAATATGTCTCATTACAAAACAAAAATGGGTATTTGCAACACGTAATGAACAAAACAACAGGAACACATTTTGATTAATAAATATAATCTCCACTTTCCTTATTTTTCAAAGTCGTTTATTTACCTTCATCTAAATCTCGCGAGAATCTGTTGAGAATACGTCCAGGAGGATTTGCATCGAAGAACGCCATTGGAGCTTTCATAACTTTGTCTAGAGCTCGGTTGTGAAGTCGACCGGACGCTTTCACCATCACCTTAAAATAGCACGATAAATGATAGAGTTAGGTTAGACTAATAGGATCTTCTTCTAGCTTGAGGGTGTGACAGAGAAATCTCCAACCCGAGGTGTGATGTTTTTTGGCTGTCTAACCCGAGGTTCTCCCGAGGGTTAGACAACCAAAAAAATCACCCCGAGGGTTGGAGATTTTTCTGTTACACCCTCAAGGTAGGGGATGATTATTTTTCTCCCATCCTATTATTTCAATCACAGCTCCAACGACAGTAGTCTGCCATGTTTGTAAACGAAAACACATGTGGGGTATGCATATCTTCATTCACTTTTGATGACGTCACAATTACCGATGACGCATTTTAATGACATCACAATTGAACACGTGCTAATCGGCATGAGGCTATCTCCCCCTAGAGGGTGACAAGCTGATCTTTCCCGGCTAAAACGGGAGACATTCCTGTGAAGGATGGGAGAAATACTATTGTTCTATCAAGGCCGATTTGCATTCCGTACTCATTCAATTTCACTGCAACGAATCTATGTGTTTTCAATAATGAAATCACGTAAGGCATGCCAGAATTGAAATGATGAATTGTCACTCTTCGTAACAGATACGGTACATAGCAATTACTTAGCAGGAGTTAATATTCACGAGGTTTTTGGAATTGTGACCGTCTCCCCTCAACTTGAAAATACATCTCTCTCGAAGAGTAAGCGGCGTTCAGAATATTATACAAATCACTAAGGGATATTCATAAACAGTACATAAAACACCTGTCAAGAGCCAAACGTTTAGCGAATACAATGCACTAAAGCAATGAAATAAGTACAGAACTGAGAAACGAGATTATGTTTATGAATCAAGAGCGACAAGGGAGATACTCATTTCACCAGTTGTGACGTAAAGCATAATGTAAGATTACACTTAATACGCCAGGCAATGTCGAAAGATGGTGAACTGGTAAGACATTTGTCTTGAACCAAATCAAAATGTGCGGAGGAATATGTAAATTAGATGGTATTCGTAAAGACGTTTTTTACACTGCACTTCTATAGTTATTAAACCCTCACACCTCCTTACAGGACAGCAAGCTCTGTTTACTCAGAGAAAATGACACAACAAGGTATTGGCGGAACATGGCTCATCTCTTGGATGGCCCAAAGTTTATTTAACATATTTTAGGATTAAAATATTTTCAGATAGCATTTTTTATGAGTAAAGTTGCCGCCTATAAATTAAGCGCCATCAACATAGAAACATCTTAACATATGTAATCTGATAAGGCATGCGGTGGGAGGGTTAGAAAAATTTGCCGTATAAAAGGTCAAATTACTTGTATCTTTTGTTTATCGTTCAGAAAAGGAAAGATGGCGTGCGGTTGCACATTTTTCTGTCCCCCTGTGGGGTTCACCTGCTGAAACAGGGGCCAGCTATCACGTGGTTTAGACTTGACCAATGCAATTTTATTCCAAAATTAAACACCGGGAAATTCAAAAGTCTTTGTACTTATAACTAGTTCGTATTATGTATTAATTGAACCAACCACTCCATGGTAACAATCTCGTCGAATCAGTACAGATGAGGGAGGAATGTCAGGTTCAGATGAGGGAGTAATAAGTCAGGTTCAGATGAGGAAGTAATAAGTCAGGGTCAGATAGGGGAGTAATTAGTCAGGTTCAGATGAGGGAGTAATTAGTCAGGTTCACATGAGAGAGTAATAAGTCATGTTCAGATTAGGGAGTAATCAGTCATGTTCAGATGAGGAGTAATTAGTCAGGTTCAGATAAGGGAATTATTAGTCGGGTTCAGATAAGGAGTAATAAGTCAGGTTCTGATGAGGGAGAAATTAGTCAGGTTCAGATAAGGGAGTAATAAGTCAGATTCAGATAAAGGAGTAATAATTCAGGTTCAGATGAGGGAAAAATATGTAAGGTTCAGATGAGGGAGTAATAAGTCAGGTTCAGATGAGGGAGTAATAAGTCAGGTTCAGATGAGGAAGTACTAAGTCAGGTTCAGATGAGGGAGTAATAAGTCAGGTTCAGATAAGGGAGTAATAAGTCAGGTTCAGATGAGCGAGTAATAAGTCAGGTTCAGATGAGGGAGTAATAAGTCAGGTTCAGATAAGGGAGTTAGAAGTCAGGTTCGGATGAGGAAGTACTAAGTCAGGTTCAGATGAGGGAGTAATAAGTCAGGTTCAGATAAGGGAGTAATAAGTCAGGTTCAGATGAGCGAGTAATAAGTCAGGTTCAGATGAGGGAGTAATAAGTCAGGTTCAGATAAGGGAGTTAGAAGTCAGGTTCGGATGAGGAAGTACTAAGTCAGGTTCAGATGAGGGAGTAATAAGTCAGGTTCAGATAAGGGAGTAATAAGTCAGGTTCAGATGAGGGAGTTAGAAGTCAGGTTCGGATGAGGGAGTACTTAGTCAGGTTCAGATGAGGGAGTAATAAGTCAGGTTCAGATAAGGGAGTAATAAGTCAGGTTCAGATAAGGGAGTAATAAATCAGGTTCAGATGAAGGAGTAATAAGTCAGGTTCAGATAAGGGAGTAATAAGTCAGTTTACCGTGGAAGCTATGACGCCTTTTAAGGTAGTGAAGACAATAATGGCCGCCAGGGTAGCCAGGTAAATGGTGAGGTAAAAGTCTACGCCGCTAGTTTGTTCCTCTGTGGGTAACCTAATCGTTTGGTTGAGGGAAGGTGTTGACATCGTTGTAGACAGGGTGTTATTGACAGTCATGTTTGCTGCAGATTCTAGAATTCCTGACTTTGTCTGAAAAGAAAAAAATAATCTTTTGTATTGATAACGTCAAGCAATCAATCGATGGTCGGATGATCCGGTGGAGAGCGCACTCACCTTTACCAAGGCGGTTCGATTTCTCGATCACAACTGAAAATATATAGGTTTACCTGATAGGTGAGCATATGGGGACACAATATGATAATGTAGGATTAGATCTTGTAAAAAGTTTTTCTACTGACTAACCTTTTTGAGCAAAATCTCATTTTAAAAGGAAGCAAAACAAAACAGAACAAAACATAACAAAGAAAATAACATGTCAAACATACGGATTTTACATAATATATGATTTTTGGTGAAGTGTATCGCAGAACAAATTCTTACAATATCTTCCAAATGTGTTATCAGAAATATTTGCCGAACGACAAAAACATATCTTCTCCTAAATTTTGTAAAAGTATTCAAATTATATTTTGATCCCAGGACAGCATTTCAGGTTAACCCTGCCCCTTAGTTTTGAATGGAAAATCCTCTTTGTCAATAGTAGGTTTCTTGTTTTAGACAAATCTTTTTTAAGATGCATATTCATTTTTAAAATTGATCATATTTTGTTTTTAATTAAAAAAATCACTAGACCAAAACGAGATTTGAACGTGATTTATACCACGGCAGAACAGATCCTAAAACAATTGTTTGTTCTTATTATCTTTTCAAAAGACGAACCCCTGCTTACTTTCGGGATCATAGTTGTCCGGCAGTTTCCAATTGCACAACTGTTAGCGAAAACTAATATTCTCTACAGACTTAGAGGTTTCCGTTAGTTTCCACTAATTACTCTGTGTACTCTGTCATAGTAGCTTGGAATTTCATCATTTCAAGTTTTGCCTGTTGCTGTTTCTGTTGCCACGTCTTTTTTCTGGTGTTATCGCCCCAACTCAAACAAGGAAAACAAGAAGACCGAAATATAAAACAGAACAGTATATGTTTCCACTGTTTCGTAATGAGTGCTAACTGAGTGCTAATCCTAACCCCTAACCCTAAATAAAGCTTATTTACACGCACAACCTTAAATAGTATATAAAGATTGAGATGATTCCGAGGAAAGTGTTTTCTGCATCGACAACTCCACCATGTAAAAATACACATAACAATAGACGATACAAACAACCAAGAGGATACATTTTGCTTAATTATTTACGATAATGTAAACTTACCGTTTGTCCTAGCCAAATACCCAGCCACCAATCTCCGAATACCACTATTCCCATGGAGAGTATGTACAGTAATAAGACTGCTGCTGCCAGGCCAAACCCTCCGGCAGCATCTATGTATGACTTGTATGTTCCGAAGGTTACCATACCGTACCCGGCGTCCTCCTTCTGGGTCAGCTTTCCTGTCACAATAAAGTATATACAGCTTTATAATACTTCCTACGTTCCCTTAATGTCCAACTACGGCAGTCTATGTCTTAAACGTAACAATACTTCCTATGTTCCCTTAATGTCCAACTACGGCAGTCTATGTCTTAAACGTATTAATACTTCCTACGTTCCCTTAATGTCCAACTACGGCAGTCTATGTCTTAAACGTATTAATACTTCCTACGTTCCCTTAATGTCCAACTACGGCAGTCTATGTCTTAAACGTATTAATACTTCCTACGTTCCCTTAATGTCCAACTACGGCAGTCTATGTCTTAAACGTATTAATACTTCCTACGTTCCCTTAATGTCCAACTACGGCAGTCTATGTCTTAAACGTATTAATACTTCCTACGTTCCCTTAATGTCCAACTACGGCAGTCTATGTCTTAAACGTATTAATACTTCCTACGTTCCCTTAATGTCCAACTACGGCAGTCTATGTCTTAAACGTATTAATACTTCCTACGTTCCCTTAATGTCCAACTACGGCAGTCTATGTCTTAAACGTATTAATACTTCCTACGTTCCCTTAATGTCCAACTACGGCAGTCTATGTCTTAAACGTATTAATACTTCCTACGTTCCCTTAATGTCCAACTACGGCAGTCTATGTCTTAAACGTATTAATACTTCCTACGTTCCCTTAATGTCCAACTACGGCAGTCTATGTCTTAAACGTATTAATACTTCCTACGTTCCCTTAATGTCCAACTACGGCAGTCTATGTCTTAAACGTATTAATACTTCCTACGTTCCCTTAATGTCCAACTACGGCAGTCTATGACTTAAACGTATTAATACTTCCTACGTTCCCTTAATGTCCAACTACGGCAGGCTATGTCTTAAACGTGTTTGAAGCTTTCACATTATGAGGGACTCAATCAAGCATTGTCATTAACATGAAGTTGGCACTTTGGGGGAAATTTGGCAATGGATGTAAAGCGAAATATTTGGTATTGTTGATGTGCTTTTTTAATTATAAAAATCAGAAGATGGAAATCCATTGAGTATTCATTGACTTTTAAAATGCAATTCAAATGTATCGGCTAAACATTTGCAAGTTAATTCAGTGACTTTCAGTGTAGTTTAGATATGTTTTGTTAATGCCTGCAGACAGAAAGGTATAGCAACTTATGACGGCCACTCTACTCATACGAAAAAGAAAATAAAGCTGCAAGTAGTCTTGTACTAACATGTATTATTTATATCTCACCCTTGCTCTCGTTAGTAGAGGAGGTCTCCTGTTCGTCTTTTCCTGATTTTACCTTTCTTTCACCACGCTGGTCAGAAGAACCCTGATCATCCTCGTTTCGACTTGACGACGTTGCTTCTTTCCCTAGTGATAACAAAATACTGATCTTGATATGTTCAACTGATATAAAATTTATATATTTTACAATTATTATGAAACAAATAATTTCAACTTATAATAATCACTCTTGTTGGCCTACATGTTAGCGCGCGTGGGGTCTTCATGTGGAAGCAAACTGGAGTATCCGGAGAAAACCCGTACGACACGCAGGTGATCCCATTCTATTCACTCCGATCGGGGAATCAGACCCCGGCAGGTGATCCAATTCTATTCACTCCGATCGGGGAATCAGTCCCCGGCAGGTGATCCCATTCTATTCACTCCGATCGGGGAATCAGACCCCGGCAGGGGATCCCATTCTATTCACTCCGATCGTGGAATCAGACCCCGGCAGGTGATCCAATTCTTTTCACTCCGATCGTGGAATCAAACCCCGGCAGGTGATCCCATTCTATTCACGTCCGTTTGGGGAATCAGACCCCGGCAGGTGATCCCATTCTATTCACGTCCGTTCGGGGAATCAGACCCCGGCCGCTTGATGTTAGGCGAGAGTATTATGCGCTGCAACACCCAACCACCCAATATTTAAATACTCGCTCAAAATGAATGGGAAAAGCTGGTGTTCTTGTTAATAAGATGTAATGCCATTATTGTGCTACATTGTCAAGATATACAAACTATCACATGCTTAATTCATTATTATTTAGAAGTAATGCTGACAATACATTCATATCATACAAAAAACTGACTGACAATTTGTCTGCCTTGTGAATTTTAATCACGCTACAGTCTCTAACAATACATATAACACGCTGTGCTGACGATGTGCACCTTCACATGTCTTTCTTCTTGCTGATGTCTCCCCTGTTCCTGTTTATCGTATTTTGTGACGAGCTTTACTTTCGAATTTAACCTTGTGTGAACAGTAATGTGTACTTGTTTCTATTTATGAATCTGTGGTTGCCCTACGAATGCCGTACGTGATATTTTGATATGCAGAACATGTGTCCTACCTGTGGCCGCTGTGAATGCACTCGTGGCATGGAACTGGCCCATCATGGAGCCGTAGTAGCCGCCACAGTCCAGTAGATACTCGTGGGATCCGTGTTCAGCAATCCGACCCTCGGCCATTACCAGGATCTCGTCACAATGTTTCAGATACTGACAATTAAAAAATAATATTGTGACACAAATATCTGGAGTCACTACAGTCATATTTTGTTTAAAAACTAAGTTGGATAGCGTATGAAAATAATAACGACCAACCAATATATTTGCTTTCAATGTCTACATATCCATCATGTTGTCACGATGTAAATGAATAAAGTAACGGGTTAATAATGCTTAAACATCTTTCTGTAATGCAACTACCTAAATAGGATTACATGAATTTCTTGCACAGATACCACCATACTACCAGTATACTAATGTTTAATACGATATTAATTTTAAACATTTATAGACAAATCGTATTCAAACTATCTGTATTGTTACCCATTTTTACAATGAAAGCGTCTTTTGCGCGACTTCGCAGGTTGCGACAACCTGCAATGGGATCGGAAAGTCTTTACTTCGTATTACTGCATGTATGAGACTATGAGTTGTAATATTATATAAAATAAAAATATCTATATTGAAACTTACAACATCCAGACTAACTATAAGTAGACTACCTTATTGTAACTACCTGCTATGAGACTATCTTACCTACCTGTAACTGATGAGTAACCAGTATGACGGTCTTTCCAGCTAACATTTTCTTGATACACTTGTGGAACAAATGTCGGCCTACGTGGACGTCCACGGCAGACAGTGGGTCGTCAAGGAGATAGATGTCGCTTTTACTGTAGACAGCACGCGCCAGACTCAGTCTCTGTTTCTGCCCACCACTGATGTTAATCCCCTTCTCTCCTATCTGTAGGTGTCGATGTTAACACAGACATCAGATTCTACCTTCGTATTGATTTTATTGACATATCTTGAAATATCAATACGTTGTTAGGTGCACCAATATGCAAGATTCTGAAGAAGCAGCTAGGTAGAATTTATCTTTTATCATTGCAAAACATATTACAAAAACATTGCCTAAATTCTATGTATAATATGATACCAATTATGTGAAATGTCTTGATAATGAATTGACAATTATAACTCAATAGCGTACCTCTGTTTCATCCCCATTTGCCAATAAATCTAGGTCAGGTTCAAGACCGCAAGCATATATCACTTGTTTGTACCTGGACAACGAATGATCAAGTTTAAAAAATCTAAGTAGGTGGTAGAAAAAGAGAGAACCAACAAAACTGTTAATCTGACTACAACATATTCAAATATCTTGTCTACTCTGACTAATATGGTGTTTCGCACAGGATGTTGAATAAGTTATCACTCACTCAATTAACTTCAGGATATAAATCTTAGATAATCACCAGTATAAGTACCATCTTATGGTAACATTTTAAACATTTTATTATCAAGAAATCACATTTGAAAAACTGGTATGAATATATTATTAAGCTGATTAAATAATTAAAATGTAAATCAATTAAGAAGTTGCAATGTACACTCTCCATAAATGTATAAGAATTATATATAAAAGAATCAGAAAAATACTATTCTAATTGTTTCAGGGATATATTTCTAAGATTTAAGAATGTAATTTATGGGAAAATGTTTGGCGGTTTTATGTTGGTAATATTATTAGCTATAGTTACAAATCAAAAACATGTTTTCGCAAAACAAAAGCTCTATAGCAACTGGTAAAGGTTGAAATATAAAAAAAAAATCTTTTAGGAATATGAGTTTATATCCTTGACAATTATTTACAACCTATGCAACCTGTAACGTTATTCCAATCTGATATAGTAAACAAAGCATTTAAACGATCTTTACAACTACATTTTTGCCATTTTCTACATTTCCTGCAAAACTCATAAAGATTTGTTTCTTGTATCGAGAATCTCAACAAATGAACATCCAATTGATGACGTATACTGTAGTTTACTCAGCATACCAATCAGCATCATACGGCTGGCCAAATACAATGTTGTCTTTAAGAGTGCCGTTGAAGATCCACGCTTGCTGAGCTGCGTAAGCCACGCTTCCATGAACCGCAAGATGTCCAATTGACTGTGGCATCTAGCGGGCCAAATAAATATTTATTAAGTAATGGTGTTAAGACATTTATATGTGTACAATGTGCTAAAAAGCAATTTAAAAATAAGGTATTATGGTAACGTTGTTGTAATGACTGATCTATCAAAAAGGAGTTTTCAAGTTTAGTTTACGAATACATGTACGTTTTCACTAACAAAATCGAAATCTAAATTTATAGGTTTTTTAATATTATATTTGCAGAGATGACAAAACATCTTCACTTAAAAGAAAACTTCGACAATGATGTATGTCTTACTCGTCCAAGGATAGCAGATATCAGAGATGATTTTCCACACCCAACAGCACCACATATACCGACAAGTTGTCCCTTTAATAAATATGACATGATAAGGTAGAAATCATCAATTTATACTGACTGCATATGATGACAATTTGTGAGGACTATAACGGAGAGAAACTCTATATGAAAAATAGATTATTAAAATATTCAGCCAGTAAAACGCTCATTAACGAAATCATTTTGTCCCTTTTTAGATGTTTGTTACTGCAAACCTCACTGAATGCTAAAAAAGAACGACCTAGGTTAAAACTGTAATCACAGCTATAAACATCACAGCATTTTGGTTAAAGAGTAGCAACGCGAACAAATGAGTAAATTGTTATATTCGACCCATACTCAACTATCGCTGACATGCAACCAGATTTATCGTGTCGATCCATAAACAAAGACTTCATGGAATCAACGTAATAGTCAACTTTGAAAATTTAAATAGCATTGAGTAACTACACCTTAGCATTTTAAAAGTAATTTGTATGATTTCTCAAATCCGGATATGCAGCGAAATAAGTTCGTGAAACATTATCTCTGTAAGGGTTCTATTAATGTCCTGGGGCCTGCATATTAATACAGATTGTACATATCCCTATGTAATATGCACAAGCAATCAATACAATCGGGGTTTATCTTGTCATAACAATTAGTGAACCTTTGCATTAATTTATGAAATAAGATTTAATATTCAATCAATATAGATATAAACATGTAAAACAATGATCATATTCCCACAATTATTAAACGAATATCGTTACAACATTTGATTTCTGAGAGTCACCTATATCTTGTGATTGATCTATATTTACAAGTACCTTGCGAATATTTATTAAAAACTTCGGCACTAATTCAGCTCACCTTTTTCACGTTCAGATCGATACTATCCAGGAGCAGAGAAGAGATGCTGGCTCTATCTAAGATATTAACGAATTGGTTTTTTCAAAATCACATATTAAGATATGAATGCATCTAGAATATTTCCCATTTTTACAGATTTGCAAATATATTAGATTGGGACAAAAATTATGTCAGGTTTAAGCTAAAATCAACTCGTCTGCTGTCCATACTAAAAAAAGCAAACCCTCCCCCATCCAATTTAAAACAAAAATATTTTTGACAAATGACAATTTTGATTCTGATTATATGAATTCAAACAGCAACTGCGCACTTCAGGCCCATTTAATTTGAATAAATTGATCTTGGTAGGCCCGGTTGAAAAATGTTATAGTTATATATTCAGTGCAACAAAACAACACAAATTTTCCTCAATTATGTTAATTTATTTCAATCATCTACCTTCATTATTTTTCTTTTTCTTTTTCTCCCTTTTCTTTGACTTGTCATCCGGTATGTCAGAAACTGGGGTCCATTGAAACACAGCATCCTGTATCTCAACAGCATTTGAGTCGTCTAGAACTTCGGAGCTAGGCGCTTGGTACTCATCTCTTAACATTAATTTCTGTTGGTGTCAAACAATGAGTTTTAATATATTAGAAGTAGAAGTTATTTGATTTTAATAGAGTATGTGTACTTTTCATATGCAAATACAGATACAGATGGTGATGCTTTTTTTAATTTATTTTTGTATACAACACAAAACGATTAATCGAAGTTCTCAGTAGAAACTCGTGATTTGATACTGATTAACTAATAGATAATGATTAAGTTTTTCTATAAATGAACATTATTAATTATTAAAAAAATATAATTAAACAGATTTGTTTGTAGTAAAGTTCTTTATCCAGACGTATTAATAAGATTGGCAAGTTTAATTAAACAACAAGTCAAATTCAACAAATAAAGAAAAATGAAAATATGTGTTGAAAAATTATATTAACGATAACATTGTCGATTGAAGTGTTACCGTATAAAGGTGTGTTCTTGACTCTTGTGGAAGCTGTTTAATAGATACACGCGTACCTACCTTTACACGTTCAAAAGTGATTCTCGACTCGCCAAGAGTACGTGTAGCAAAAGGCACAAAAGACACGATGATCCGAAGAAAGTCCAATGTAGACACCAAAGCAAACGCCTGATGTAGTAATAAGTAACACAGACACGTTCGTTAAAGGTTAGATTCCATATCAATTTTCCCGAGAGAAAAATGAAACGAATTCGTAATTAACTCTTATGAAGGTAGAAACGTAAAATTTTAATCTGAGAAGAAATTTAATTTGAACTAAAACATAAGATCAACAGCAAGAAAGATGCAAAAAAGCCAAACAAACAAACAAACAAACATACAAACAAACAAACAAACAAACAAACATAAGCAAAAACAAAACAAAAAACGACAGCTCGCGTGATTCCAGTTAATTTTGATGGGACTTTTAATAACGTATTCTTAACGATTAAGTTTCGAAGTTTATTCCTTAATTTTTTAATATTTTTTTTTAATTTTTCAATTCACAGTCATATTACAGCAATATCATTTATGACCATATATATATAATACAGTATAATATTTATGACATATATGTATGTACTTTGTAGTATGAAATTTGCATCCAGATTTCTCATTTAAAGATTAAAGTACAATATATGTAAATTGGCTTTGAAACAATCGCTATATTACTATCAAATTTCTGTAAACGATTGAATTCAAAATATGCTCTCAAAGAATAAGGTAAGTGAGCAAATATAATATCAATGCCGATTTATTCATTATTTTGAACTCGTTGTAAGCAAAACAAATAAAAACCGATATTAATACATATGTTTATTTTTATTGGTTATGCAACTAGAAGGAAAATGTATGTCTTCCCAAATGTTCAATTCTTAATTTAGTTTGATGTGATTTTAACAAACTGACCGTTGATGCTGTGAGTTCGTTTCCAAATGCACGGTAAGTTGCTATGGTTGCGACAGAGGCGATAGAGGGCGTCACTGGGATAATGGCGTTGGTAATAGAATTGATGATGGCAGCGGTGCGCAAAACACGCACTTCACTTTTTCTGATTGCTGCAATAATTGAAATAATCGGAATACGTTTGTGAAGATCTAAAGATGAAACGAAAATCCAATATCAAAGCTTTATGGTCACATGTGATATAGGATTGTTTTTACTTAAGATCGTTTAATAAATACAGGTTTAATATACACATTCCTGAATCAACAATATACCATGTTTCATTGTATAGTTTGTTCACGATATATATACATACAGTATAAAATAAATGAGTATTATTTCCTTGCGTACCTGTGATGGCGGACTGGAACGACTCCTCCCATCCGTACATCTTTATCATCTTCATACTATTGAGTACTTCTGTCATTTTTCTTATCTGAATCAGATATGAGTGGACTCAGTTTAATCATATACGTGTGTTGTTTATTTTCGACATTTTTGTATTTACTTAATATACACATTTACTTTCAGTGTACTTCATTTAACGATGAAAAATATCATTAACCGTTTCAATCTCATATGAATTCATATAAATATCTTGTTTCATATATATCCAACTGTCAAAAAGGAAAAAAATAAATCGATAAAAAAGTGTTATAATGTAACCATTTTATCCCGGAAGAGAAATACTCATGTTTAATTAATGCAGCAAAAATAGCTTACTCTCTTGTCCGTGTGAATTAATGTTTTCCGTCTGAGAGATGCTACCACTATTGTCAGTTGCGCCTGAAATAGAAGTGCAAAGAGTAACTTTTTGAGAGAAAAAAATGAAATCTTAAGGAATTATACAAAAATAAAATGTCGACTTTATAAGGATTTAACGGCACTTTTTTCAATTTCATACAGGCATACACATTGAAAAAATGTCGTCAGTACAAACGAAATTCCCGAAACATCATTACGTCATCAAAATGTTTGCTTCTAGCGGTTCATGTCGTTCGAGGTGGGAGGAGAAACTTCGAAATGACGCTGATCCAATTGCGTCCATAGCCGTATGAACGCAATTTCTTTTGGTAATGCTCGTAGAGGAACTTGCAGTACAAATGTTATTATAATGTCATATTTGTTCTGATGATGATATTTACAACAGAATGTCAATCTTTCTTTCTTTAGATGAATTTGGTCAGCAAACAATAGTTTATAGAAAAATGCCAATACAGATAATAAGAAATGATAATAAGATTTGCTTATTGTTCAGAAAGTTTGACTTATTGCTCTCTATGAAACACTTCGTCAGACATCACTCGGGTCTGACATTGGAAAATAGATATATCAAATCATTGGCTAAACTTAAAATATTGGTTGTGTAAAAACATTTGTGGTTTTCATGGTTGCTATTTAACGAATTGCGTTTATATATCTGATAAATGTGTCCCTTACATACGGTATCCACGAATAGGTTTACTAGAATTAATGTGAACAGCTTAAACCACGACAGAAAGTAACCAACAACATTTCATGCTATACAATATTGTCAAGTATTCCCTAGATAAATCCTTATAAAACAATCAGACAATACACAGGTTATGAGAATATCATTTTTTTAGGATTTACTTCCCCTTTATCCTGACATTATTTGCAGCAAAACTCATAATGCTTTGCTTGAAGTTCAATCCAATTTAATTGTGATAATCAAAGATAAATAACAACAACAAACCCTACCTTTGGTTGATATATGCCAAATATTAATAATAACAACACTCACCTGTAGTTGATAACAGATAAGAAACGACCCGAGAGCAATGAAGCACCAGTAGCCTATCAGGTAATAGGCGTAGGCCGTTCCAATGATGACGTAGACAGGGAGAGCCAGTAGATATACAAATGATATACAGTTGATAAACACCCTCATAGAGTCAGCACCAAATATTGTAACAATCTAAAAAATACCATGATAACAGGATTATAATCCGCTATGAACAATGTTATGTAATGTAGAATAAATATGGAAAAAGTCATGGACAATACTGCAGTGTATTACATTGTGAAATGGAAATATTTACAGAAACCTCGAGGAATATTGAAAAAATCTACAACGGGAAACTCACATATGATATTCACTAAAATGGACACTACATGTACAATATCGTTTCGTACAATAAACGGTACTTGTTATTCCTTCCTCATCTTTCAACATTTCGAAAAATTGCAATAACCGTTGTTCAACCGTTGTCAGTATAGCGTGACCGGGCAGAATGCTGTGCTGGGTGCCTCCGGCATAGTATTTCAGTGAGATAGCACTATGATGTCGGCATAACATCCGTGCTGTCACAAGGAGGCAAATACACTAATATACCCTGCCTCCGGCACACATTCGCACATGCATGCATGCATGCATACGCAAAACACATGGAGGCCCGTCCTAAAATGAACTTAACTATTATTAGGACGTTAAACAAAACAAAACCAAAACCAAACCAACATGGATAAGATCGTTTAACATTGAAATACAGTAACCTAAATAGACAATAACATTTAGCATGGAAATGATACTAAATAGGAAATATCGCATAAAAGGTATTAGTTATAATGGATAGTATAACAGGTATAATACACAAAGAATCATTGCAATGACGCCATGATATCAGCTGATAAAGAAAATAATAGCATTATGTACTGAGGTTAAGACAAAGGGATCACTACTGGTGGTAACATTCAAACAACCTTTTATCAAACTCAGAGATCATATGTGTCCATAATTGATTTGTCAAGATCTATTCGTTAATATCAGCAGACGACAGGAGGTGAATGGTCGCATGGATACCTTGTATCTGTCGTTTGTATTCTGATCTTACCTCAGATGCTACCTTGCCTTTAACGCTCTTTAGTTTAAGAATCTTCTTGTAGACAACGCCTAACATACCAGCTCGAAACCGTATACCTTCGACAACGAAAATCAGCGTTTGTTATGTAACAGCAAATAAAAACAAAATGAATAAAATAAATCGCGATGTAAATGCATCTGATTTTAGATGGATCTAACTGTTCAAAGCCGCTCTCTCTCGCCAATCAAACTTTTCCAAAATTGCAAAAAGAACTTTCTTATGGATATCATTCAAAATATATTATATATAGATTACAGTTTGACATAATTGAGACTGTTGTCTTTATTTTTAATAATCCTTGGGCTAGATGTAACATAATTATACACTACTATATGGTTTGTAGTTGTGCTTGTCAATGTTGTAAATACACCCGTTCATTTAAAATAAATCGACTATTTCAGTTATTAGGGTGTAGTTTTACCTGTTTGGACACCAAAGAAAATAATGAATACAAATGACGTAGCTCTCAAAACCTGCCCGACAAGATTTCCGGCCAAAAGTGCCATAGCGTAGCCCAGGTCCGAAGACTCCGACTCCAGATAGCTCACCACGAGATTGGTAATGAAACCCTGAAGAAATTATTGCACGTGTATCTACATTTAAAATCAAAATTATAACTGAAATAAATCTTTCGTATTTAAAGCTATCGATTAACAAGATCTACTTAGACAATCTCAATAGCACAAAGTCAAACGCGCCACTATTAGTTAAAATATGTTCTGCTGTACTTGACAAATGTTATTGTTCTTGTTCAGCATATCTGCCATTTCAGAATAATGTACACATGTGAGCTAGACTGGCTGACAATATTCTATTTTAATATGGCTCCAATGCAAGAAGAGACGATGTTGTAGCTTGTGTCTGGAACTTATCCTGGCACAGTTTGTATCAATGGTCGTTTAAGTGACGATGTTGTAGCTTGTGTCTGGAACTTATCCTGGTACAGTTTGTATAAATGGTCGTTTAAGTGACGATATTGTAGCTTGTGTCTGGAACTTATCTTGGCACAGTTTGTATAAATGGTCATTTAAGTGACGATATTGTAGCTTGTGTCTGGAACTTATCCTGGCACAGTTTGTATAAATGGTCATTTAAGTGACGATTTTGTAGCTTGTGTCTGCAACTTATCTTGGCACAGTTTGTATAAATGGTCGTTTAAGTGACGATATTGTAGCTTGTGTCTGGAACTTATCCTGGCTCAGTTTGTATAAATGGTCATTTAAGTGACGATATTGTAGCTTGTGTCTGGAACTTATCTTGGCACAGTTTGTATAAATGGTCGCGTAAGTGACGATGTTGTAGCTTGTGTCTGGAACTTATCTTGGCACAGTTTGTATAAATGGTCGTTTAAGTGACGATGTTGTAGCTCGTGTCTGGAACTTATCCTGGCACAGTTCGTATAAATGGTCATTTAAGTGACGATTTTGTAGCTTGTGTCTGGAACTTATCTTGGCGCAGTTTGTATAAATGGTCGCGTAAGTGACGATGTTGTAGCTTGTGTCTGGAACTTATCTTTGCACAGTTTGTATAAATGGTCGTTAAAGTGACGATGTTGTAGCTTGTGTCTGGAACTTGTCTTGGCACAGTTTGTATAAATGGTCGCGTAAGTGACGATAGTGTAGCTTGTGTCTGGAACTTATCCTGGCACAGTTTGTATAAATGGTCGTTTAAGAATAAGTTATCTGTTTCGCGAAAAGTTGTTAATATGTTACGTTATCAAGTGTATTATAGCTACCTTTCCTAATTCGCCGTCATTCCTGACTTCGTGTATGTATTTATTACATAATCATATTTAAAGGTTTTCAAAATAAGTGCGCGCCTTTCTGTCACTATTTTAGGAAAGGTAGATATCAATTTTATCTACTAAAAGATTATTTACCAATCAATAGTACGATAATTAGATTTCCGTGTTTTGAGATAAAATTCTTCATCCTTCTGCACTGTGACAAATACAAAATATGCTTAAAACAGAATACTCTTTACACCAAACAGACCATGATTTGTTTGTCTTGCGATTAAATGACCATGCCAAACAAGTGACGATTAGTCATTAAAGAATGATACTTACGCTCATGAAAAATGTGAGCACAGCGTTGATACATACAAGTAGTATCTTTATATACAATCGTGTCTGGATGAACTTCAGCCAAGCCCTCAAAAACGAGGACCCCTCTTCCCCGTGACTCGCTACCTCTTTCTCCCATATTTGTTCTAATCTGCAACACAAACATACGTCACTGGATAGAGTGCGAGTTGTTATACTTTTTCCATTTTAACATAAGAATCCTTATCGTACTAAGCCGTGCTTTATTGTACAGTAACCTCCCCTTAGTTTCGTTGCTGATGTAACTATAGCACATCTGGGCCAGGACACTAGCTTTGATCTAGTGGTTCAGTCTGTGGGCCAGGACACCAGCTTTGATTTAGATGCTCAGTCTGTGGGCCAGGACACTAGCTTTGATCTAGTGGCTCAGTCTCTGGGCCAGGACACTAGCTTTGATCTAGTGGCTCCGTCTGTGGGCCAGGTCACTAGCTTTGATCTAGTGGCTCAGTCTGTGGGCCAGGGCACTAGCTTTGATCTAGTGGTTCAGTCTGTGGGACAGGACACTAGCTTTGATCTAGTGGTTCAGTCTATGGGCCAGGACACCAGCTTTGATTTAGATGCTCAGTCTGTGGGCCAGGACACCAGCTTTGATTTAGTTGCTCAGTCTGTGGGCCAGAACACTAGCTTTGATCTAGTGATTCAGTCTCTGGGCCAGGACACCAGCTTTGATTTAGATGCTCAGTCTGTGGGCCAGGACACTAGCTTTGATTTAGTTGCTCAGTCTGTGGTCCAGGACACTAGCTTTGATCTAGTGGCTCAGTCTCTGGGCCAGGACACTAGCTTTGATCTAGTGGCTCAGTCTGTGGGCCAGGGCACTAGCTTTGATCTAGTGGTTCAGTCTGTGGGACAGGACACTAGCTTTGATCTAGTGGTTCAGTCTCGGGGCCAGGTCACTAGCTTTGATCTAGTGGCTCCGTCTGTGGGCCAGGACACTAGCTTTGATCTAGTGGTTCAGTCTCGGGGCCAGGTCACTAGCTTTGATCTAGTGGCTCAGTCTGTGGGCCAGGACACTAGCTTTGATCTAGTGGTTCAGTCTGTGAGTGCGATAGTATAATGATCTGAATTGACCCAGTGTTCCAATCCCATTCTAGTGCGCAGAATATCAGACCACTGTTGTTGGTTATATCTTATGTTTATTTCATCCGTTAGGTATGATTTTTACAATATTAAAACTATTGTCATGTAAAAGTACATAGTAACATTTGTTTTTGTTTGTGACAGTGGTTCGGTGATATTTTTAGCAATTTGCCTTTTTAACACATTGATATATCATATTTTATAGACCGATATGTTCGCTGAATGCAATGATACTAGTATAAATGAAGATATATATGTAATTTATTATCTTTGTTCAGCATTTTGCCACAGTGATCTTGAATAAACAGCACATGCCTTTAAGGACTTCCTGCAATCTCTACATTATTATATAACCCTGAAGACTAGCGTTTTCCTGATTTCAGAACTAATTTGACCGACACACCGTTTGATCCTAGTAACGAATAATTCCTTCTAATGTCGACAAAGATATGTTTGGAAACAGTTATCAAACATGCTCATTTGGAATGAAGTATTTCAAACTATATAAAACGTTTGACGGAATTACAAAACATGTAAAAGAGACCAATACTGGCACCTGTCTGTGTTGACGTCACACGACTCCCAGTCCGATATTTTCCATATGTCCTCCTCCTTTAAAGCCTCATCCCTGTGTCTGTAGATCTTCATTACCAGGGAGGACATCCATGAAATTGTAATGTAGGAGAAGAAACCAGCTTTGTTAACCGGGATCTTCCCGTCTCTGTAAATAACATTATACCATAACGTCAACATAGACATACAGATTTGTTTCGAAACGATTTATAATGTCTAACAAATGTAGGTATTTTAACTATATGAGGATAAGAAACTGAATTTCCGACACAAAATTATACAACTTCAGGATGCATTCCAATTTTCACCATATTTACATACCGATTGCAATTACCTGGAATGTAGTGTAAACCGAAAGTGGCATTACAATAGCAAGAACAATTTGATTTTGTTATAAGAAATAAAACCGTTACATAAATTCTCCAGCCTCTCCATATTCACAAATGATGCATCAGTAGATCTTGTCCATATGCCCAAGAGGCCCAACTTTGACCCAAATCGGATAACATCTATATTTCGACTAATCAGAAGCCACTGTACGTCGGCCATCTTATACACTTGTTAAATGGCACTTATAAGTGTTTCTAGTGCCAGGATATGTACTCTTGTACCACATTTTATTGAAATCGAACATTGTTTGCACTTCAACCAATGGGGAACCAGTTAATGGTGGCCATGTTTTCATTGAATTTGCGTGACAGATTTCAGGACAACTTTTACCAATCAGACTGCAGTCCCAGCTTCTTCAGTTACATCTTTTGATTAAACTGATCCGCTTGGAACCAAAAAGCATGAAACTATGCCAGAGTTCTGACCTATTTAGATAAATATATTGAGAGCTAATGTAGCCTATTGTTTCTGGTATTATTTAGCCAATCATAATAGAATGGCTATCTACATTAACACTACAATCGGTATTACGTTAAAAATATGACCATGGCGCTGTAAAATTATGACATTACTGAAAACTACAACTATAACTTCTTTTATAGGAAAAGTGATCAGTGAAGAGGAGGGCAGAATCAACTCCCTTCTTTTTAGCTTATCTCATTATACGTTTAACGTTATTTAAGCTTATCTCATTATACTTGTAACGTTATTTAAGCTTATCTCATTATACTTTTAACGTTTTTACTAGTTGTGTTTACTAGTTGTGTATAAGCAGTTGTGTTTACTCGTTGTGTTTACTAGTTGTGTTTACTTGTTGTGTTTACTAGTTGTGTATAAGCAGTTGTGTTTACTAGTTGTGTTTACTTGTTGTGTATAAGGAGTTGTGTTTACTAGTTGTGTATAAGCAGTTGTGTTTACTAGTTGTGTTTACTAGTTGTGTATAAGGAGTTGTGTTTACTAGTTGTGTTTACTTGTTGTATATAAGGAGTTGTGTTTACTAGTTGTGTTTACTAGTTGTGTATAAGGAGTTGTGTTTACTAGTTGTGTTGACTAGTTGTGTTGACTAGTTGTGTTGACTAGTTGTGTTTACTAGTTGTGTATAAGGAGTTGTGTTTACTAGTTGTGCATAAGGTGTTGTGTTTACTAGTTGTGTTTACTAGTTGTGTTTACTAGTTGTGTTTACTTGTTGTGTATAAGGAGTTGTGTTTACTAGGTGGGTTTACTAGTTGTGTTTACTAGGTGTGTATAAGGAGTTGTGTTTACTTGTTCTATTTACTAGTTGTGTATAAGGAGTTGTTTTTATTAGTTTTGTTTACTAGTTGTGTATAAGGAGTTGTTTTTATTAGTTTTGTTTACTAGTCGTGTATAAGGAGTTGTATTTACTAGTTGTGTATAAGGAGTTGTTTTTATTAGTTTTGTTTACTAGTTGTGTATAAGGAGATGTGTTTACTAGTTGTGTTTACTAGTTGTGTATAAGGAGTTGTGTTTACTTGTTGTATTTACTAGTTGTGTATAAGGAGTTGTTTTTATTAGTTTTGTTTACTAGTTGTGTATAAGGAGTTGTATTTACTAGTTGTGTATAAGGAGTTGTGTTTACTAGTTGTGTTTACTAGTTGTGTATAAGGAGTTGTGTTTACTAGTTGTGTATAAGGAGTTGTGTTTACTAGTTGTGTTTACTAGTTGTGTATAAGGAGTTGTATTTACTAGTTGTGTTTACCAGTTGTGTATAAGGAGTTGTGTTTACTAGTTGTGTATAAGGAGTTGTGTTTACTAGTTGTGTATAGGGGTTGTGTTTACTAGTTGTGTTTACTAGTTGTGTATAAGGAGTTGTATTTACTAGTTGTGTTTACCAGTTGTGTATAAGGAGTTGTGTTTACTAGTTGTGTATAAGGAGTTGTGTTTACTAGATGTGTTGACTAGTTATGTTTACTAGTTGTGTATAAGGAGTTGTGTTTACTAGTTGTGTTTACTAGTTGTGTTGACCTGAAAATATAGCATGTTTACAGATAGCATGCATGATTGAAATGTTGATTTACATGATTAGAAGGAAGACGTACGTACCTTAAGTAAATGCTAATTTAATTCATATCATTAGACATTAGCATATTTGGACAGATCCTGACCGCCGTTGTAACAAAGTGCATATATACGTCAATACACATATTTGATTGTAAAATGTTTCCGATGTTGCTACTTAGTCAATATTAAATGTACTATTTCAAAGATGTCTGCTGGATAACCGAACTACTCGGTAGTGAAGCGGACGTAAAACCTATCAATCAATAAGATTTTTTCACTTATGAAAGGCACTTGTTAAAACAAGCAGGGTACTTGATAATTTTTGTGCAAATTATTAGAATTCATGTTTCTTACTTTGAAGACGGACGAAATGGCTTCAATGTCTTGAGAGAAACAGAATATTTCCGGCTATATGCAGACCCATGAGTGAAATGGCTGTCTGTTAGTCCATTCAAGGTCTGCATCCTGGAATAGTGAAAACAATACAGAAGATGACACGTTTTTATGAACAAGTCTCCAATAATACACCCCTGACTTTGAAACAGTAGTTTACACAGACAAAAGATATGTTAAAGGTCTTATTGAGACTTTATTTATTCACATCTATTCGATTTTATCTTAATATCTTGCCGTCTTATGATCCATAAAATTGTTTTGATAAATATATGAATATGGATACTTTATTATTATTAAACAATTACCTAATATTCTCTCCTTCCATATCAGGGTCGCCATTGATAGCGGGATTATCAAAGGACAGTTTATCTTTCCTGTCCGGAAATATACTAAACTTTCGGAGCTGTGGCTTGCCATCATCGCTCATCTTGGCACAGAATATACCTGTAGAAGAAACTAAATATTATTTGTAAAAGTAGTAGTTTTCACACCTCATTCATCAAATATTCATTTGCTTTAAACATTAACAATTAAACAGCAGTTTAATAAAAACACAACAAATCATACTAAACTGTAATGTTTCACAGGTTTCGAAGTGAAGTGGAATGTCGTGAGTCCACTAATACTACAAACACAGTAAAGAGTAGAAATTAACATGCCGCATAAATATATATATATATGATATATTACATTTCGTATTATTTGATCACTTTATTAGAAAGGTAGTTTTAAAAACAATAATATCAGTTACATCTAAAATGTATAATGTAATTTAATAAATGAAAGATATTAATATATACAATGAACCTAGTATAATATTTCAGAAATCTATAGCCTTTGTCGTATCTCCTATCTTGTCCTGTATGATAATGTCATCATAACTTGCACTTATTGTAACAATAAAGTTGAAAAGTTATGTGTTTTAACAGTGCATATAAACTATAATACAGCCCCCTTGAACGAAGAATCGATATCGCAATCACTGCAATTAAAACAGAATCCTTACTGTTTTCACCAATGTGAGCTTACCTTAAGGAAATCTGCTTCTAACACTAGTTTCCTTGAAGACGTATGTAGTTGTAAAAATCCGGCAGGTTGTGAAATCTGTTCATCCTACCTTGTAATGGAAAGGCAATAAAAGGAGATCTTATATTATCTACCATTATATTAACTACGAGCCTGACATGGTTTCCTTTCGTTGGCCTCTAGTTCCTACAGCGTCCTATTTTCTGTCCGATGTGAACGGATAGAGATGTATCACAATGTATTCCAACACATGCTATCCTCAAATTTTAATACTAGGTGTTTGTTTCATTTGCGCGGTCACGTTATTAAGCCTTCTTCACCAGCCTACAAGCGGTTACGGTTGATTTATATTCAAATTAAATCGTCGATTAAAATGTTAATTATTATGTTAACATAATTTTGTAAACTGATATTTTTCTCTCGTTACAACCAATATAATGCTTAAAACATCCCTCTAAATTTCATTTAAATTTAGAAATTTTTGCATCTGACAGACAGATAGAAGGTGAGTGATACGTACCGGATTTTGCAGGCTCATGTTGTCTAGCTGAATGTGTTCCTCGGGTTCTGTTGCATCTTTTTGATATGAAGTAGAAGTTATCGTCGTGAACAAATGTACGCGTTATTCGGGTTGAGTAAATTAGCACGGATGTTAATACTTGAAATGATAAATGGTGTATAGATATAACAAAGATACAAATTTCAGAACTACTCCGGGTGCAGAAATTTCCAAAATGCGATCAGTTACAATGGGAATATTTCCACTCGCAAAAAGATCCACTTTAAAAGTTATATTACTTTTGTGGATCATCAATGCAATTACACTGATTAAACAACACCAAGCAAATTAGCAAATTCGGCGATTGATTCAATGTTATTAACAGGTAAATTTGCAGCTGACTACAAAGCAGCATATTGACATTCATATAACGATATACATGTATGTAATGATAACACCATATGGATTCATTTAAGGAATGATTTTTATTTTTTCAACATTTATGAGGTCATAACAACAATGGGTTTATGGACATATTGAATGAATCGCGTTAGCGATTCATGTAAAATATGTCCAAAAACCCATTGTTGTTATGACCTCATAAATGTTGAAAAAATAAATATCATTCCTTATATTTACATTGACGAATCCTTTCAGTGGATCGATATAACAACGAATAAAACAAATAAACAGGGTTTGTTCCTGCTTATACACGGGTGCAACGCAGTGGCGAGAACAGTGTTTTTTCGCGGGGAAATGTGACACTATCGTGAGAGATCTTAGCAACCGTCAACAACAATAACACAACAAAATGTAGTTCCATATTCAATGTTTATTTGTAGCACAGGACACGTGAATACGTGGATATTTCACAAAGCACAGTTCAATAATATTTTAAGATGTAAGAATTAAGCATCTAGGTCGGTCGTTCCGAGTGAGTAGTTTTTGTAGTGTATTACTACGCAGTGTGATCAGGTTACTATCAGTTCCCACGTGCTGAGATTCTATGAACACCTGTGTTATGCATTTATGAATGTAATTTTTGTCAATGGGTCTAAGCATACAGAATGTAAATATAGTGCGATGAACAAAGTTTAGCTAGATTGATATGCAGCATAAATGTTATTTTAAAATGGCATTACCTCACTAAATTTTTTGTTTCATATAATTCTTAAATTATTCGAAACGGGAGGAGACGTGCCAAAATGACATTGATCTAATTACGTTCATATCATGACAAGCGTAATCTACTATATATGTTAGTATTTATATATGCGACCGCAGCGGAAAGCATGTGAATATAGGTGTACGCAGGAATTTTGTTATGTTATTACTTAACAAGAATTTTCGGCAATTACTTGTTCCGATCTTTAATGTGTTGTTTTCAACCTTAGGTTTATGCGAAGAAATACAAGTGAACGGTGTGTGTTAGGCGTAGTGTCAAACATCTATCTTATTTCTACTGTCATACGAAATTGTAAACTCAAGAAAACAATTCGGTTTATTCTAAATTCTCGTTTTTCTTTTATTCCAGCTAGAACGTTTCACAATAAGTAACCTAGTTTGCAGATTGCTCATGCTTACTGCGAGTAAAGTCAGACTGATGTTATCAAGAATAAAACTACAATCTTTTATTCTAATCTTATCTGCAAACAACTGTTGAACACACATATATATATATTTAAAACGTAAATGCAAATCGGTAAACAGCAAAACATAAAGATCACATTCGAACTTCGTGTGATTTATCAACCTATATTTTGTAATACCAATCGGCTTGAGAAAGTGACATTGTGGTAAATTCATTTTTTTACATTTTAACTATTGGAATATCACTGGTATTGATATTCATTACAAGCTTAATCGTGAACAAGACTAAATAGTTTTGGCTGATCATATCAAAACAAGTAAGTTTTAGTTTGAAATAAAACTTATCAATTTTCACACAAAAAATAAATACATTGAAAAGATAATAAAATTTTGATCAGTTTACAGGTAATAGTTTAAGAATGTTTAACAGTTAGAGATAAATTACGTTTTTTAGAGAACAGTTACGTTTTCATCATAGGGTCATATTAATTGTATGTATCTAAATAACATCTTAAGATAAAAGGGATACTCAAAAGAGAAACCTATCTGCTCAATCTTAAACATTCCGAATATATATTAATTTCAATCAGATTAATCAGTTTGGAAATATGTAATATCAAAGTTTTACTTTATAAACGTACGTATTGATTGTGTCGCAACGTTCAAAACCAACTGGTCCCTTTGTCAAGTTATGACTGAGCCAACAATTGAAGATCGACTTGTCCCTTTGTCAAGCTATAACTAAGTTTACGTTTCAAGACCAAATGGTCCCTTTGTTTAGCGATGATTGAGTTAACGTTTCAAGACCAACTGGTCCCCTTGTCAAGCTATAACTGCGCCAACGTTTCAAGACCAACTGGTCCCTTTGTTAAGCGATGACTGAGCTAACATTTCAAAGACCAACTGGTCCCCTTGTCAAGCTATAACTGCGCCAACGTTTTAAGACCAACTGGTCCCTTTGTTTAACGATGACTGAGTTAACGTTTCGAGATCAACTGATCCATTTGTCAAACTGTTACTGAGCCAACGTTTCAAGACCAACTGGTCCATTTGTTAAGCGATGACTGAGCCAACGTTTCAAGACCAACTGGTCCCTTTATTAAGCGATAACTGAGCTAACGTTTTAAGACCAACTGGTCCCTTTGTTAAGCTATAACTGAGCCAACGTTTTAAAACCAACTAGTCCATTTGTTAAGCGATGACTGAGCCAACGTTTCAAGACCAACTGGTCCCTTTGTTAAGCGATAACTGAGCCAACGTTTCAAGACCAACTGGTCCCTTTATTAAGCGATAACTGAGCTAACGTTTTAAGACCAACTGGTCCCTTTGTTAAGCTATAACTGAGCCAACGTTTTAAAACCAACTAGTCCATTTGTTAAGCGATGACT